GGCGCCCGAGGCGTCCACGCCCGTCGTGAACACGTCAGTGCAGTTCACGTCGTTGCGCAGCAGCTGGTCGCAGCCCACGTTTCCCTGCGCGGTGAGCCCGTCCAGAGTGGCCGAGCCCGTGAGGGCCAGCGAGCAGGTCCGTCACGGAGACCGACTCTCCCTCGAAGGCTGTGGCCCTGATCTGCAGGCTGTACAGGTCCAGCGTGCCCGCCGACTGCTGCACCAGCCCGGAGATCGACCCGCCGAAGGCGCCAAAGTGCAGCTTTGCGACTCCGCCGCCGAGAAGTCCAGGCGCGTGCCCAGCCGGTACCGGCAGCCGAAGGAGTCTCCCCGGCGTCAGGTAGGTGCGCACGATGTTCCAGGCGAAGGCGCTCAGGGTCATGGCGTAGCCCTCCAGCCCAGTGGTGGTGAGCGTGGGCTCCAGCAGCTTGCCCACCAGCGTGACTGCCTCGACCTGTCCAGGGTTGCGTCCAGGATCTGGAGGCCGTAGACGTGCACCGTCTGGTTGGGCAGGCCCTGGAAGTGTGCCCCGGCTTTGCAGCCGCTGCTGGGACGAACCGTCCAGTTTGACAGGGAGACGTCCGTGAAGCCCAGGATCTGCTCGCCGATGGCAGCCACCACCTCGTCGGCCCCTCCGTCGTCCGGAAAGCGCACGGCTATTTGCAGAGCCAAGGCTGCCTCCGCGACTCCGAGCTTGCCGGCTAGGAGATCGTCCACCTGCGCGATGGTGTAGTAGCTGAGCAGGGCGGCTGCGATGCTCGAGGCCGTCGCCGTGTCCTGGTCGGCGGCCGAGCGGTACGCCGCCAGCGCCGAGGTGATGTGGTTGGTCGTGAAGACGTCCTGGTCCGGGCCCGTCCGGTAGGCCAGCAGCGCGCCCGTCATGGCTGCCTGCGTTTGTGTGTCCTGCGCGCTTGCCGTGCGGTAGTCGGCCAACAGGGCGTCCACTTGCGCCTAGGTGTAGTAGGCCAGCGCAGCCGAGATGGCGCTGGTCGTCTCCGCGTCCTGCGCCGTTCCTGTTCGGTAGTCGACCAGCAGCGCGTCCACTTGCGCAGCGTGTCGTCGCCGTTGGCCAGCGCAGCCGAGAGAGGAGCCTCCAGATGCAGGTTGCGAACGACGCTGCCTCCGCGAACGAGCTCCCAAGTCGCGAAGGCCGGCGCGTTAACAACTCCGCCGCTGCCGGAAAGCTGCAGGGCGGCGAGCTCCGCGAGGATTGCGTCGAGGGCGCTCTGTCTCGCTGGCTGAGAGACCGGTGACATCGGAAAAACGTTCAGCAGGATGGAGAATGTGGCTGTTTTGCAGGGTTTTTCGGCCAAAAAACACAAATAATTAGGTCCCTATAAGACTATGTTCCTTACTACTCCTTGCCATCGGCCTTCGCACCCTCATACCGCGCTAGGCCCGTTTACACATTGCCAAAGCGCAAGGTGTATCACCACAGGGATTTGCCTTGACTTTGCAGCCGTGTGCCAACTGTTCTAGCCTTTGGTGAGTGCCGTACCGGCCTGGGGGAAAGTCTACTCTTTCACTGCCTTCGTGAGTTTTTTGCACCTTGCTACGCAACATTGTCAGTTGCGTCCAGCGTGACTAGCCTTACTGCAGCCGTGTGTTTCTTTTACAGGCGACGGTCACCAGGCCATCATACACTTTGCAGCCACCTTAGCAGGTTTGACTGGCACCTTCCAGCCGTGCCATGTGCTCTACTTGCGCTGCACTTGCCTTGACAGCATTATCACTATGAGAGTTAAAAACAATCTGCCTTCCGCTGTTGTCAGGCGCCGTCCAAGTGTTGGCGGCGACCTCAGCGTACGTTCTGGAGCCGCGTTCTTGAACCGCATCCCCCGCAGGGGTTGCTGCCTCGACACAGCGTGTCAGGCGCTGGCCCCCGCGTCACTGCAGTCCCGGCCTTGGTCAGGGAACATGCTTAGCATCTCCCCGCCGGGATTTGCCTCCCCTGACACCGCGTGTCAGGTTGCCCTGCTAACGTCAGGAGGAAGGCCTTGCACCACCGCGTGCTTGCCTTGAGGCCCAGAGAGAACGCTCTCAGTGCCTCGACCTGACACCGCGTGTCAGGTCGCTTGCGCCGCGTGCGCGCCTTGAGGCTCAGTGAGAATCTTCTCCACAGCCTTTCCCTGATGCCGCGCGTCAGGTTGCCTTGCTCCGCCAAGAAGAAGGCCTTGCACCGCGTGCGGCCTTTGAAGCTTTGTGGGATCAACCCGCAGTTGCTTCTCCCTGACACCTCGGGTCAGGTTGCCTTGGTCCGCCAAGAAGAAGGACATGCGCAGCGTGCACGCCTTGAGGCTCAGGAGAACATTCTCCATAGCCTTTCCCTGATACCGCGTGTCAGGTTGCCTTGGTCCGCCAGGAAGAAGGCCTTGCGCCGCGTGCTTGCCTTAATCCCCTGCAAAAGGGGGCCACTTTACATTTCCATGTTTCGTCAATCCTGGCCGCGCTAGGACCCGGGGTATTTACACCCCGGTTATTCGTGTCAGCCCGCCTTGTTGCCATCCGTCTTGTGCATTTTTTCAACCTTTTCGCATTGTGCAAATAGCTCGGTAACCTTGTAAACAGAGCCCTTGACCCCCTGCACACGCGACCTCGCAGGCACAAGCGCTCAAAGCCTGTAAGCGTGCTTCACTTAGAAATATTGCCCTGCTCTGTGTTGCGCCAGCAATGGATTAGCCTGCTTGTCCCGTGGATTGGAAACTTTTTTGAAAGGCCACGCAATCTTGCCTTGCTGAACCGCCTTCGCATCTATGTCGACTACATTCTCATGCGGACAGGCCTTCATACAGGTTTGTTGCACTTCAGCCTTCTTTTGTCACTGTGTGCATTTACCACTGCCTTCGCAAATGTGAGCCATGATTTCCGACAGGAAGCTTTGGAGGCCTTTGCAATCCGACCCTCTCTGCTCCACGTGGAACGCGCCCAAGGACGCTTCGCGGCCAGAGGCCTTATGGCCACCGTCACCGACCCAGCCTTTCGCAATTCTGCTTTACACCAGCAGTTCCATGAACAGGCCGAGACAGTTTTGGTCCAGCTCACCAGCGCTTTCCCTGAGCCTTGCATTTCGAGCCTTTTGCACTCTGTGCTCGCCGCCTTTGAGGACCTCGAGGTTTTGCTCAGCCGTTTCAGTCCGGCGCTTTCACCTGAGGCCACCCGACCTGACCCAAACGAGTCAGTGGACCTTATCTCTCCATACTCGTAGCTTTACAAAAGGACGAGTGCCTGCTTCTGCAACTCATGTTTCACCGGCATTGAATCCAACTCAGGTTCTCCGTGCCGCGCCAGGTCCTTGGCCTGCCCGCACCACACACGAACTGCTTCGCATCTTTGCATTCACAGTGCCCGATACGAGGCCAGCCCTTCTGCCTGGCCTGAGCCATCAAGTGACCTGTTGTTTGCCTCACATTGGCAGCAGTTTCGGCCATGACTCTGCTATATTTGTGACCAACAGCTTTGTGTTCAAGAAAATCACGCATTCTCTTTCTTCATTTGCCTTGCAATGCCTGAGCCAGACCTCGCCGCCTTCGCAGCCTTTATGGCAAATTTCCAGCAGATGACAGCCGAGAATCAGCTGAAGGCATCGCTTCCTTGGCTTTTGGGTTCTGGGTTTTTGGTGATTTGAGGCTAGGAGCAGTGCGCGGGACCTTTAACAGGTAAAGACTTGTGCGACTCCCTCCAGTTCATCAGGTGGCTCGAAAGAAAATGCCTTAAACCATGTGTACAGTTTCGGATGGCCACAGGGCCGATGAAAGTTTGACGTAATTGAGGGATGCGTTGCGCTTTTGAAGGCATGGTTTGTAAAGCTTAGCGTCTTAGTTGTTGACCGTGCAGCCGGGAGCTAGCACTGAGATGTTTGTGCAGGGTTGTGAGAATCCCCTTTTGTTTCACATCAGGGAAGTCCAAGGCGGTGTGACAAAATCAGGATTGAGCCTAGGCCCCAGCATGATCTGGCACAGGCTCCCATAAGCACGTTAAAAAGATAATTAAAAAAATCACAAACAAACTCGGATGCATGACGCCATGCAATCGGCTTGATCTGGCAGGCGTGAAAGAGCTCAAAACATTAGCATCATTGGCATGAGACAGACGCAAAAATAAACAGAAACGTGTTCTGTCAGGGCCTTTGCTTCTGCATTTGGCTCAATGATTGATTTTGTTTCGACAGTTATTGCCCAGAGCATGGTACTCAGTAACAAAAAGGTTTTGCGAAAACAATGCAGGACAAACAACCAAACTTTGAGCGTTTTGCCCGAGGGCTTGGCATGTGTAATTGCAGGGTTGGTTTTGTGATCGAACCCAGTTTTCAGGTTTTTAACCGGCGGCTGAATACGTTGGTCACATTTTTCTTTGGAAAGCATGAAAAAGTGGCCAAACTGGGTAAAAAAGGGCAGTACTTTCATTTGCGCAAATGTGCCAAACAAATTTTCCATCGTACCTTGCCAACATGGTGGAAGGCTGGAATGTTTGACTCACCAAGCTGCAGGACACGACTTCAACCAACTATTTGTCGCTCATTATCGAGTCGCACTTGAAAACGTAGATGGCAAACAACAATCAGAACAGTTATTGTATTTTTGTCACTTGCTTCCTTCCATATGCTGAGGCGTCAAATGTGGCGCTATGTACATGCATCAGTACAAGTCATCTTCGTGGCGTGCAACACTCACGAATCAGATCGTTTGCCCTTGCACAGCTAGGATTCTTCGTTTGGTTATGCCTTGCCCGCTGGGGATTAAAGCGCTCATTTGATTGCAATTTTCATGTAGGCTTTCTGCGCAAAGCACCCCCAAAACGGGCTCGAGCCAGATTTGGCCGGCCCCAATTGACTTAAGACTTAAGCAGCAACCAGTTTCAGTGCGCATATGCGCCTAAACTTTGCTCTTTCACCACATGCAAACAACACCAGCATGCTGTTGTAATATTACCTTGATGCTACCAATCAAGATTTGGATGCAAACTCTTATCCGTCACGCACCTTTGCAAGTTTAGCAGTCTGCAGCCACCAGGGCTCCGGGGGTGCTGACCAACAGGGCTGGTCTAGGACCTGGCCGATCGCGCCCCCGAGTGCCATTGCTGGCAACAATGCCATCAGGCGTCTCATGACATATGCATACCACGCAAGTAGTCTGTGGGGTATCATCCATTTCCATGCTGTAGCACTGGTGTGCCAGTTGCTGGCTTGGCCGCGGCGGTGGCGGTTTTGGCGGCAAACCCATCCACGGTGCGAGCAGGAATGTGCACAGCACATGTTGTTTTGCGGTGCATTCTGCAATTCTGTGAAATTATCGTTTCATTGGGACCTGAGGGAAGGACACCCATACGTACAAGAAAGGCGAGGACGTGGTGGTTTGGACAGACAAAGTTGGTCCTTACAACAACCCGCAGGACGCAGTTTGACACGTTGGAGCCAGTTTGCTAAACGTGTGCTGGTCCGCCGATGCATATGCTTGAGTACTCACAGCAGTCTCGAATTTGGCATGTGTTAAACATTGTTTACTCTTGCCATCCTGCTTTGCAGGAGACGTACGAATACAGCACGCTCGGTTTGTGCGAGTTGGAAGGTTGGATTCTCAGTCATGGATATTTCAGCGGTTGCAGAATGATTGTGAAGCACTTGTGCGGCTGGGAAGACACCGGGACAGACATGGTAACAACCTCTGCCTTTGTCAAAGAGTTAGATCTCAGCTGAAAAGACTGAGGTGAGGACATTGCCGTAGAGCAGGGCGAGTCGGCCTCTCAACAATGACTTGATGGCATAGCGCAGGCGCTTTCAGAAACACGCAGTTTTTTGTGTGCGAAGGCTGTCAATTGGTGAGACTCTCGAAGGACACGCATTTTTCTCCTCACCCAGGCGATAGTTGCTCTGCAAGCATACATCAGTGGCACCCCCTGCCAGGTTGGACATCCACTTTGGGCAGAGCAAGCCCCCAACCCCGCTATGCAGCATGGTGTTGAGTGACGAGAAAGCGAAGGCATTTGCAGGGTTGCGTGTTGACACGTATAGTCCAGGCACTTGAAGACAGTTGCCGGAGCTACATTAAGAACTTGGTTTTGTGTATACCGGCTGCACATGATCTGGTGTCAAAAGCGGGACCAAAAGCAAGAGCCCGTAGTGGCAATTGCACTCCCATATCCCGCTTCACAAGGAGAATACTCTTGGTTGAGCGGTGTGGGGGCTTAGGTGGTTTTAGGCATGGTTTATCCGGGTGGATTTCGGGTGGATTTCCGGTGAGTGTAGGGTAAGTTTAGGCTGGGTTTAGGGTAGGTCTAGAGTGCTTGCTGCCTTGCTTGCTTGCGCGTGCGTGCTTGGTTGCTTGTTTGCCGGGTGGCAGTGGAACGAGACAATCCAGCGGGATAACCATTTCACAAACTAACAATCATAAAGAATCACTTAAGACTATAAGAGGTGAACAAGTGCGGAACCCTGTTTAGCGCTGCCTGGAAGCTTTTGCTCACTATTTGGACGCTGTTGTCGTTCAGCGCTATTTGGACGCTATTTGTCTATTGCAACGCTATTTAGCGCTATTTGAACACGCTATTTGGGCCGGTGGGGTGGGGAGTGTGGAGTGGAGTGCAACGGAGCGGGGCGGGGTGGGGTGGGAGTGGGAGTGGGAGAGTGGGAGAGGAAGTGCAGTGGAATGGGGCTGGTGGGAGTGTTTTAAGGGTGCCAAGCAGTAACCAAGGCTTGTGTTGACAGTTTTTCTGGGGCGCAATTTAAATACTAATTTGCGTGCACATCGGCTGATTCAACGGTGGCTTATTTAAGCACTAGTTAAGCGCTATTTAGGTACCCACTTTGTGCAAACATCTCGCTCGTTCTTGGGGACTGTGTTTGGGGCGGGGGTGTTTGGGGGGAGGTGCCAGGGGGGGTATGAAGGTTCCAAGCGTGCTTTGCATTGCTGGTCTGCTTCAGTTCTGAAGTTGCTTGCTGCTGCATGCACACCTATGCTTGATGCTGTGGCGTGGTCCCACACAAATGAACTTCTCGGAGAAGCAAGTTAACTGCCCAGCTTGTTAGCGGGAAACTGTCCCAAGCTCGTTGTTGCTACGCTATGAGTTTTATTGCATATTTTGAACGTTGTGAATTGCTGACTAGGAGAGTTGTGCCTTTGACATAAACTCAAGCTGTTGCGGGTGAATAACAAATCCTTGCTTGTCTCAAACACGACCCTCATCAATCAATTGCCCACCGCGTGCTTTTCTTTCAGATTCGGCATGTTTGTGTGAGGCGCTTGATGCTGTGATCAACGACAACTATTGGCGTGTTTCTCAGATACGACTGATTCCATGAAAGCTGGGGGTGTCATACGACACGGGTGTGGTCGTGAAGGTACCAGCTCTACATAGACGACTTGCCCATTTGGGCGTTTGTTGGGGAGCACTCCAAGTTTGCCCTTGATGTTAGCGTGGGACTTGGAGAGCACACCCCTCACGTAGACACTTCGGATTTGAGATCTTACGTGAGACCGCAACCTAGGCCGGTTCTCAATGATGTACCGGGACAACAACAAATCATTGCAGTTGCCAACGGGATCAGCTCCTCCGGTTCCCAAACACTTGAAGGCCGGTCAGTTTCAAGAGTGCACTGGTGCCGAATTACAAGCCTCTTAAGCTCGAATTTGCCGGTCAGGGCAAGCCGCTTCCTCGCATTTACACTCATCGGCACTTCACTCTCTTCTACAACAATGACCAGATTATTGAGGCCGACATGCTTGCAACGCACTACTTGCAAACTACCGTCAGAGTTGAATCTTGCTTTTGTTTTGTGTAGGTTGACATGGAGCCATCCAGCCCATGGCCCGTCTACCCTGGTGCTCCGCTGAACTTCTCTTACACTGTTCTTTGGTTTCAGACCAACAAGGAGTTCAAGGTGGGTAGTGTGCTGATTGCAAAGAACACGCCATGCGCTGGTCAAAGTCGGCATTTGTTCCTCAGGACAGAACGAATCGATACCTGGACCCAAAGTTCTTTGAGCACAAGGTCGAAGAACCGTTGATTTTTGCCGTTCACTCGTTAGCCAGTGATGCAGATGCTGCACGCACAATGATTCCTGTGCTGAATGAGTAAGTGCAGCAAGTGAGCGCTTTTGAAATTTGCAAGCTGTGCAATTCCTGGAAGGTCCACTGGTTTTCGATTGTGAACTCCTTCATGCTGTGCCTATTTCTGTGCGCTGTTGTTGCCATCATCCTGATGAAAACGCTGAAGTGCAACCCCGAGAATCTGCTTTGAATGATCATGCACTCATGCAGTGGACTGAAGGAAGTATCACATGTCCATGCTTCTCTATTGATCCTGGTTGCCCTCGTTGAGGCGGGACTTTACTCGATATTCTGCCAGTGAAGCTGAAGAATTGGAAAACTTGGACGGCGTTGGCCTGGCACTTACCTTCTGGATAGATCGCATTCACTCGTTTGACGCTTGTTTGTTTTTGATACGAGTTGGTGCAGATGTTGCATGCCATTTGATAAGGCTTGGGACAAAGAGCTCTCTTTGTTCGACTTCGCACAACTTTGCAAGTCACAAGTTACCTGTGACCAAGGTGATGAGAGTGGCTGGAAGCAAGTCAACGGTGATGTATTCCGGAAGCCAGACCATTTGGCAATCTTCACTGTGGTGTATGCCTCGGGCTGCCATTTGGCATGCACCGTCTTCATTGTGCTCATCTTTGCCATATGCAATTCGTGCCCGGAAGTGAATTTCATGTTGGAGAGATAATTCTTGGCAGAATGCACAGCCCGCAGGTACTATGCATCACGTGGAGCAACAGCTGGTTCATTTGTCATAGCATATCTTTGCACGGTTATCGCAGCTTCCTTGGTCCCGCTGTGTGCACATGTCAGACACTGGCATCAGGATCATCTGATTTTTTGTGAGGTTGGTGGCTACGAGGGCGGTAGAATATTCAGAATGTTTGGTGGCCAGCAGTGGAAGAGGACGAGTCGAAATCTTGCAATGTGTAGATTGTAGATGTGGAAGCTGTCTTTTTGGAGGACAATGGTTTACCAGTGTCTATTTATGCCCGGACTTGTCCGCTTCCTACAGGGATCATGTGTCGGATGTTCGTTCTGCGGCAGATGTGCTGAATTGGAAGGTGTTTCTTAGCTTCATTGTCATCAATACCACTGCTATCTTCTACAGAGCGACCATGACAGCAACATGGTGGCAAGGAGGGTTCAAGACAGAGAGAGTGCCGACACAAACTTGATTCCCCATGCTGACGGAAAGGGAGGGGGTACTCCAGGTGCCGTTCAAGACAATTTTCATCATTCTGATTTTGTTTCTTGCCGTGTGTGTGCCGCTGCACACAGTGCCCAACTCAGAGGGCTCGGAGTGATTGACAGTGCAACGCAAACTGATAGATCAAGCTAGATTTGCCCCACTGTGGGGTCCACCAAGGTTGGGACATTGCTTGGGCGAAGAGCAGCTTCCGAGCGTTCTTTCCCCTGCCGTGTTCACCACTTGAAGAGGTGCTTCGACAGTTGCGCCGCTTTTCGCTTTGCATGTTTTTCATGCTCCTCGTGGAAGCCAAGTTTGATGACTTCAGTTTCAAAATGCCCAGAGAACAAGTACGGATCGCCTTGTTAAGCCGGCAAGTCAACAGGTAGACTGTAGCCTGAAATCAACATATGTGTGGAGTGTGCGAGAGCTTGGCTTGCGCTCTGCAGGCCCATTCCAACAAAGCATTGGGCATTCACACCCATCATGACGATGGTTGCAGGCGTGAGCAATATGCAACTTGCTATTTCTACTCTCTGTCTCTCTCTCATTGTCAAACAAGCGTATGCCAGCCAGGAATTGTGCCCTTTGGGTGCCTCTTCATCGAGATGTACTTCATTCTGTCGGCAGTTTGGAGCCACAACAAGATCTACTATGTCTATGGCTTCATGTTTGCCATCCTGGTGTTGCTTTGCTTGGTAATTGTGTGTGTAAGCATCACTTGCACCTACATCCTTCTCAACGCAGAAGATTACAGGTGGCAGTGGCAATCGTACCTTAGTTGTGCAGCTACATCGCTTTATGTTTTTGCGTACACCATTCATTACTTCTACAATTCCACACAGATGCCGCGAGCTCAGAAGTATGTCTCATATGTCTCATTGTGCAGGCTTTTTGTTGTGGCAAAAAGTCAGTTTTCAGCTTGTCGACCTTAGGTCTGGTTTTCTGCAGACGGTATACTACTTTGGCACATCGCTGAATTTCTGCATTGGCCTAGCTCTATTTTGTGGCTCATTGGGCTTTATTGGCGCCTCAAAGTTTGTCTTCCTCATATACAGCAACATCAAGGCGGAGTGAATTAGCAGGCCAGTAAATCGTGGCTCTGCATGCTGGGCTTGAACAAGGAGTGGCATCCCGCGCAAGGTATGGTTCAAAACAATCTGGTTGCTTGCTGGCTGTTGCATTCCAGTCAGGAATTCTGCCCGTGTGCTTGAGTCTCCTTGAACATGTCGCTTGTTGCAGAAGACGCCAGCCTGAGTAAGACTCTGGGCGGGGTGTTTCTGGCAAACCAGGCCATGGCTTGATTCAACCCTTGTCTCCATATCTAATTCCATCCCTTTCTGTGCTTCTTGCTGCTGTATAATTATAAATGCTGCGTGCGGCTTGCTGCGGCCGGCTTAAAGGAACCAGAAGAGCAATGTGAGCTTGAGCAAATGATGCCGGGGCTGAGCAGTCTGCCGGGCTTTAGCCCGCAGGGCGGAGGTGGACTGAGGGGCTTGGGTCTGGAGGATGGGGCTGGATGGGGCTGATGGAAAATCACGCTTGGAAGCTGCGTTCTCGCCAATCTCAGTTGTGTAGGAGCTGGGGGAGGATCCAGGGCCGGGGCTTGAAGGCTTGTCTGCGCGTGGGAAGGCTGCAGGAAACGTAGATTTGAGTCATGTGACACCGGTGTGGGGCGTTGATGAGAAAGCCTCGGATTCGTTTTCAGTGAGTTAGCTTTATCACGACTGGTGGCTCAAGAGGACATCAGGTGTGAGAAAGGACCCGAGAGCAGCAGGCCAGCACTCGGCTGCCAGGGAGCAAACCATACCTATTAGCTCAAAACTAGCCACCACCACTACCACCAATACCACCACTACCACCACTACCACCACTAGCACCACTAGCACCACTACCACCACTACCACCACTACCACCACTACCACCACTACCACCACTACCACCACTACCACCACTACCACCACTACCACCACTACCACCACTACCATCAATGCCACCACTACCACCACTCCACACCATCTCCACATATTTTTCATTCATTGCCACCATTCACATCTCGCAAAAGCCCTTCACGTACCGGACTCAACAGTTCGTGTTGCTTGGTCGAGGAATGGAGGCGCGGAATTTGCAGCATTCAACTGCAAGCTTCTTGGAGCAATGTTCAAGAGGCAGAGATGGAAGAAATTCCTCCGCATCTTGAATGTGCCATTTGTATGAAGGCTGGCGGTTTCTTGTTTGTTTGTTTGTTTGCTTGCTTGCTTGTTTGTTTGTTTGTTTGTTTGCTGGGATGCAAATCAGAATGCATCGCAAGTTTTCGCATATCAACGTTTACTGACGGCATGTAACATGGCCTGCCTTGCTGCAGTTACTGCTGGAACCCGTGTCCGTACCTTGTGGCCACACGTTCTGTGCTGCTCACAGCTTTCGTTGCACTGTGTTCCTCGCTGTTGTTTCACCGTGCGTCTCGAATCAATTTCAGGTCAGAGCTGCCTGGACCAGGCACTGGGCTACAGGATGGGCTGAAACAGTCTGACATTGCCAACAGGATGACATTGACCAACGCTGAAGGAATCTATGCGCTGTTTGCCGCGCTCCAGTTCCTCCAGGGCAAGCTGTGAACGTGATCATTCGCAACTGCCTCAGCCTTCCAGGGAAGGAATGCAGCAGTATTGGACTCAGGAAGTGTTATTGTGGATCAGTGCCTTGGCAGTGTATCAGTGAGCGAATGTGTGGTTGACAGGGCTAAAACGATGCATGTGAGATGTGCAGAACACGCAAAATGCCAAGCTTATTATAGGTACCCACGTGCGCTTGCCAGCAGACAAGCAGAGCAGCAGGAGGAAACGGGCTGAGACATGACTTGTTGATCAAGAAGGTATGATCAGACTGAGTGCATCAAAGTTGAGAACTTGTTTGTTTTAATCCAGGAGGTGCGTATGGCAGAGCGGACATCTGAAGAACAAAGGCAGCAGGAGGCACGTGTATGTTGCCGCTCGCTCTTGTTGAATGGGCAGAATGGAATATGTGCAGCTCAACAGCGCTGGTAACAGGTCAGCGGCGAGGCTGAAGCTGCTTCGGGTCGGCAAATCTTGATCATGCCAATCTTCAGGACAGTACTTGTGCACGAAAGGCGTTAGTGTCATGATTGCCTTTTGGTAAACTTTTGGTGAATCATCATTCCTGTTCGAGATTCACCGATCAGCACATGCACAGGCCTTCTTGGTGCAAACCAGCACCCGCAATCATAAAGCCAAACATGAATCACAACGCACACTTTGGAGCTATGCAGCTGTGGGAGCGCAGCAATGCTTGCATGGAGGCGACTTGTCCCCTCAGCAAACGTCATGCACTTGGGCATTTCAACTACTGCCTAGCTGAACTCGAATCTCGCCTCAAAGACGGGCAGTCTGGTAGGCTTCCAGAACCGGCTCTTCTCCGCATGCCATATTGTTCGTGTAGAACGTGCCATTGTGCACCGCAGACATCAAGGCTTGCTGAGAAAGATGAGCCGTGGCATGGCCTCTAGTGACTCGGCGACATCGACAGTTGCGAGCCCCACACAAGTATTGCCGTGCAGCCTTTGGGCTTCTCCCTGTTGCGACGCACGGACAAGTCGTAACTGCACTGCTCACGATAAGACTAGCAAGCTCATCGATCGGTTTACCATTTGGCAACACGGACATGCCTCAACCAAAAAAAATCAAGACCCAGATTCTGGTGGGCCTTGCCGGGTATGTTGCTGGCTGGGCTGCCCCCCCAGCAAGTTGGCCCTCCCCGAAGTTGCTCTCTGCAAATGCGGTCTGTGCAAAGTGTTTTCTCAAATGCAAGGATCAACCTCCATGCTTCTCCAATACGCACATGGTCACGGAGCGCAGCGCTTTGAATCAGTCAAATCTTGCCTATGATGCCTGCGGTGAAGCTTTAGAGAGATACAGATAGGCTTTGCTGCGGACCATGCTTGGAAGTCATAGCATGTTTCCCAGGTTCGCTCAAAAACCAATGTTTCATTGATTCAGTATAGTTTCGTTTGCAAGCCCTATGGATTTTGCAGGAGCGCAGAGCTGCTGCTGCCACAGTGTTGCGTCCAGGCTGCAATATCTACAAATGATGTGGCTGACGCCGTGACACTGAGGTTGGGAAGACGATTTGTCAGTTTCTCAAGAACAATTGGCCAGCTGCCCAGTAGAGCTATGCAGCTAGGCGTGTTTTCAGATTTCCATACGCTTTGGATTGCTGGGCTCCATTGGAGGAGGCTTCATGGTTCCAAGGTTCAATATGCAGTGCAGGGCGGTCGCCGTGTTTGCTGGCTGCAAGCGTGTGAAGACCTAGGCAACTTGCTTGAGCTCGCTGCAATCACAGAAGTTCGCCGACTATGCAGGTGTTTGCATGAATGTGGAGGATTTTCGACCGGCAGAGCGTGCACGTTCAGCCCATGTTTCGAAGCTGCAAGGGCGTTCGTTCATTATGCTTGTACAGCAGACATTCTTTACTTGATGCCAAGGTGCGGCTTCGGGGCAAATTTCGTGTCAACCTGATAGAGCCTCCACATTTGCACCAGGCCTGACCTCAACGGTTTGTGCCAGTGACACCGGGCTCACCTTAGCGCTGGTTCGACTCGCCAATGTGACTGTAGGGCAGCTGTTACTTTTTGGTGGTGTTGCTATCATCCTCTTGTGGCATGAAGGGCGCATTTGTTGAGTCAGACGGACATCTGGTATGATGACTTTCAAAGTGAGTTTTTGTCATGTGCAGCCATTTCCTTGCTCTTGCCTTGAGCAACATGCCATTTGTAGCGAGCGAGTCTATTCACGGAAAAGTAGAGACATCAATATATTGCCTGTATTTGATGAAATCACATTGCAGTGCAGCTTGCAAGAAGCAGCCGGACAAGCGGACACAAGCACACACACCCACAGACACGCGAAACTTGAACCCAATTGGGTTGCACAGTGCCGGACCCAGCCTGTCAATGCGTTGTGCATTTGAGGATGGCTTCGAACTTGGTCGCTTTGAGGCCATTCTCGTCGCGTTGTTGTGCAAGACATTGATTTTGCACAGTCCAACACGATCCTGCAGGCAGTGTTCGACACACCATTACCCTTGGTCGAGCTGACGAGAGCAGGACCGCTCCAAAATCAAGTAGAGCGTTGTTGGTTTTGGGGGGACATGGGGGCCCAAACAGCAACCGGCGCGCCCACCTCTTGTTGCATGCTCAGGATCTGAGGCTGAATCCGAGGAGTGAGTAGTGCTGCATTGCAGAAGAACGCAAGATCCTTGGAAGAGAGCAATATTTGATTGTATTGGTCAGGAGACCGCAGCTTTTGTCGCAGACAAGTGCGTGCAGGAAGCGATGTGCGTGCTTCTCGCACAGGATCATATGCAGCAAAGTAGCTTACGCAAAGTCTTTCAGGGCAGACCGCACACTTTCCAGGCATCTAGCAAAGCATGATTGGAACTGGGGTCATATGCAAGTTCATTCTTTCACCATCTGCCCCTGCAGCTCATCGACCAGAAGCTTGCAATGCTTGGTATTGGCAGCCGGCATGTCCCCGCCTTTGAGATTGCAGCACTGAACATTGACAAATGGCAATGTACATGTTCTTGGCTCGTGACAGATTTTCACTGCGGGGGCTGCAGGCCTTTGTTGAAAGCTGCGGAGAGCCGCCGGCAGCAGCTCGTAGGAGGCGTGCCAGTTCGATCAACTTTCCTCTCAGAGCTGGCATTGCGAGGCCCGGAATTCCAGCAACCTCTCCGGACTTGGAGGTTCATTTGTGCATTGCACGTTGCATTCCCAATGCGTCGAGTCATTAGCAGTCCCCTGCAGCAACTCTCCTTCTGGCTGCTGGGATCCATCATTGTGGATGCAGCGCAGAGGCTGGAAGTCAGACCTGGCAACCTGATCAGAGAGTTGAACTCAGGAAGAGATGGGTGCAGTCTACGGACACCAAAGATCGACTGAGTGGCTGCTTCCATAGACTGGAGGCACCCTTGTCGGATCCTTTGCTCGTGTGAAGCTTATTGGTGTTCAGGCTGCTGGCTCTCGACCCATCCTGAACCTTCCCGGAGCAAACTCCTGGATGCGTTCAGGGTGTCTTGGCACATGGCTTGCCAAGAGGGAGCGCGGGTGACATGTATCACTAGAAGTGCTTTGTGCGCAGTTGAGGTCCTCGTGGAGCAGCATTGTGCCATTCTCAGCTTGTGTGCAACTTTGGATTGATGAGATGGATTTATGATTTGTCTGCCGATGTTGCCTGGCAAGTGCGATTCCGTGCAGTTCTAAAGCCTTGAAAGCTTAGCGTGCGCCTGGCCAAATGACGAAAAATTCAGCTGAGAACTGGACAAGTGGCACTTCCACCTCCTCTTTATCACCCTGACCACACGTCAATACTGTTCCATCATTGCCTCGAGGGTTGGTAAGCAGCACTGACAAGTTGGCGTCAGACCATGAAACTGTTCATTGGCAGTGCACGGTCTGGAACACCAGAGGGCGGACCAGGGAGGAGTCGAAGGGGAAGGGGCTGCGTGCCTGATTCGCTCCTTGTTCCACTCTTTTCGCTCGCTTGGCTTCACACTTCGGTCCGCTTTTCGCGCCAAGTCACGGCGCACCTTGTCACATGTCCCTCGCTTCGTCAGTGCCCCACTTGGCATGGTCAACAAGTACTTTCCTTTATCGCGGAACGGAAATAGCCTCTTAACATGTTCAAGCTGTTGAGCTCCATGCGCGCCTTCGTTCCTGTTTAAAGTAGATAGCCTGCGTGAATCCAACCTGTGGGATTTGGCAGAGTTGTACGCCTCCATTTAGATGCGAGGGTGTGTTTTTTTTGCCATTGGGTCGGCAACCGCACCAATTTGGCATGCTGGCCAACATGCAGACTCAGTTTTGATGCAGCTGATCAGCAAGGGCTTGTGCAACCGCTTAGCTCCTTTTTGTTGGCTTTTAACAAAGGTACTGTGGCCATGCCAATTCGAATCTGCAAACTTGGCAATGTTTTTAGATACTGATTCGGAGTCAATTTGTGTACCCTCGCAGCAAAGCAACGCCAACTTGTGCCAATTCAGCACAGCTTGACTCGCATCCAAATGTCGGCCGAGCAAAGCAATGTATAGCTTAACAAAGTTCCTCACCCCTCCAACTTGATGCGACACTGCCAAGAGCCAAACCGTGAGCATCATCAGCATCATCACCAGCATCACCAGCATTGCCATTATCATCAACATTGCCAGTTGCCAGCATCACCGGCATTGTTAGCATCACCAGGATTGCCAGGATTGATAACATCATGAACAGCATCAGCGTCATCCACATCATGACAGTTTAGCAAATGTTGCATGCAAAGGGCCTGCTGCACATTTTCTGCGTCTAAGGCGCTTCTTGTGGTGATCTTTGCGTTGCTGCTCGCCAAGGACAGCAGGATACGGCTGTGCCACGTGATTGGAATTGCGAGAGGCTTCTGGCTTTTTTGATGGCATCCTCAAGCCAAAGCCCGAAACTGAATTGCGGGCTGTATCTCCGCAAGAAGCGTGATTGGTGATTTGCACGTGCAATGTCTTCACATCTAAGGCACAGCTATTCAACCGCGCGGTTTTGAGTGCAGTGTGACCAAACACGTTGCATTCTGTGAGCTGGCATGCGATTTGTACTTGATGGATGATCATTTGGCTGTGGGTCAAAAATAGGTAGCCAAAATGGAACCCTTGTAAATGGAACCATGGACTAAAACCAGCGGTCCCCTGGTGGTTTAATTTTGACCCATACCCATTTCAAGCCTCACACTATACCTGGTTTGCAGTGTGCACCATTTAGTTTGTCGCCTTCAGCGATTTATCAGGTGTTGTCCATGCTGCATTTCAGGCTCAATAACAGAAGTTGTCAGATCAAGCTGATCAGCAGTTTGGCATGCGATCAGAATCAAACAAATGGAGCTTGTTTGTGGGCAGGCAGGTTGCTTAAGCTGTAGTGGCGATACAAACAGTGCTTTGTTGCATATGCTCTTGATGCAGTCTCTGCAATGGATCGGCAAAGTCCACCGCATCAGGCTGCATCCACAGGGCAGAGTGAAAACTAGACAACAACACAAGGACAGCTTGTAGATAAGTCTATGGTGTCAGATCTGCTATCTATATCAATTCTGGGGTTGGAGAGCGAGACAATCATGTTGCATTGTGGCATACCAGGCAGAGCCCGAAAGCGAATGCAGGCGGGCAGCTTTGTTTCGGGAGTGTTTGTTGAACGCTATTCGCAGGTTTGCCCAGGTGGCCCGCGCTGTTGCGCAGATATGGTCTAGTCCCCAGAGTTCGAGGAGCATGTATTTTTATCGTATGAGTGGTTGAAGAGACATGCAGCAATGCAATGCAACACGCAAAGCCTCTGAGCTTTGCAAGAAGCAAAGAAGCGAGGTTTGGCTACATTTACCCCCTGTGCTTTTTGGCAGCGAGCTTCATGCGGCCAAACACCATCGCCAGAGCCTTTGTGGCTGGGGCAGGATGCTGATGTGACAGCATTTAGCATTTCAACTTGCCAGGTCAGTGGTATCTATGTTTTGATGGCCTTTGTGGCCCTATTTTTGCCTGCCGTGTTTGCCAAGAGATGCGAATGGGAGCACACGGCTGAGCACAATTTCAAGGGTTGCGCTCAGATGGCTTAGCTTATGTGCAGCAGCCTTGAGGGCAACAACACTGACAGGGCATGGCGCTGGAAGCGATTGCACCTGATCGTGTGCTTGAGCTGCGCAAGCATGTTCACTGCGGCCGCGGTGATGCTTATTATTTGCAGGACGGTGTGATGGACATGCAATGTTGACCGCCGAAAGTGCAGTCTCCAAGTTTTCCTCGGGTGCAGCGCTCCCATCCATCTCTCACCAGTAGACAATATGCTGGAGTGATAGAGATGGTGGGAGAAGGTGAGTGATGCCTTTGCCTGTGCTGGGACGGGAAAGGACCATCTCATTCACTCATTCTTTGTCACGAGACAAGCCTCTATTCTCTTCCGTACGTAGCCAAGCCGCTATTATGTAAAGGCTTAAACCATCTCGAACCCATTTCCCTCTATCTATTATTGTGTTTTCTAAAAAATAGGACAAAGAGAAGAGGAGCATGCCATCTCCTGCAGTAGAAACAATATGAATCATGAGAGCGCTCTTCCCCGCTTGTCTCTATCTTTGCCCTTTCCGCACGGCTAGCTCTCACCTTTCCGCACGGCTAGCTCTCATCTTCACTCACGAAGCCGGTAGGGGAAAGGATGCCATCTCTTGCCCATCTTTTCCTACCTCATGAAAATGTCGGGTTCAAGATGGAGAATAATGTAGGTGAAGATGCCGTGGCGGGGCAAGAAAGCGATGAACATGACCATTCCATCTTTTTATCAAGAAATGCAGCGAGAGGAAGGTCAATATGGAATGGGTGCCGCCAGGAATGTGGGAGCGGTTGAAGAAGGAAGAATATGAGAGAGGGTGATGGCCATTAGCTCGCCCAATCTCTCTTACCTTTCCCTTTCACTTACTGCATTTGAAGTCAGTGAAGTCAATGACCGTTATCATGTTGTCATTCCTTTCCAAGCCTCTGTTCTGGTAGACAATATATTGAGGAGGCTTGAGATGGCATGTGATAGTTGTCTACATTCTCGAGATACAATATGAAGAATACAGGGAGAGCTATCTCGTGACCAACTATTATTCCCTTCCTTTGCGTCTCTCAGACGGAATAAGGGAAGGAGAGACGGTTGCTCCCCGCTCACAACCTAGCTCATCACTATTACTCATCGCACTGCATTTAGATCTCCAGTCTGTTTTGTTTTGCTGCTTTGTTCTGCCTTGATTGTATGGCCATCTTTGTTAATCAGCATTGCGTGCTTCATGGCATCTCTTCATGTCCCATGCAGGAATGACGGCCTCAAATCAGAGGCCCTCGCAGCGGGCAGACAGCTATTCTTTGGAATGGCTCACTTCTTAGTTCTATTGCTTGCCTTTGACGTTCATTTCTTTGCAATCCAGATTTCAAGGACGGCTGCAACATAGCCAGCAGCCTGTTTCCGGAGGCTGGCCGTAAAGGCTTTTTCTCTTTGTTACGTGGCCATGCATTTAACATGGTAACAATGTTGTGTGTGCGCGATGTGAGACCGGCGTTGCCGTTTCTTACCCTGACCCTGACGAGACACTGGCAGCTTGCTCTGCTATGCTGGGCGTATCTTTGAGCTGCTGTACAAAGAAGTTACAGGACATCGCCACTCCTGCAAACACGGGCCGACGATCATTGATAAGAATAGCAAGATAGTTCGGCTGTGGACAAAAAGTATAAACACGACTTCGCGTTGCCCGCCTTGGCCAGTATGGTTTTGGCCTGCTTTGAGAATTTGAGGTACTGTGTTTTGGTCTGCCTTGTTTGTTTGAGCGAGGGAGGTGGCGCCATGCGGGATAGGGGCACATGGAGGGCGGCCAAGCGAAGCCTGAGGGCCTGAGGGCCTGAGGGCCTGAGGGCCTGAGGGCCTGAGGGCCTGAGGGCCTGAGGGCCTGGGCTGAGCTACGAGAATTTGGTTTGGGGCTGTTCGAGTTTTTGAGGGGATTGAATTCGAATTACTAGGGGGAATATGAGCGAAGTTGAACCGGCTTTTGGAGGGGATTGTGTTGGTCGCCAGAGGGGAATTTGACCGGTGTCTGGGGGGATTTGCTCGGTTTTAGGGGGCCGGGTTGGCGCCTGTTTGTAGAGGGGATTGGATTCACAGAGGGAATGGGAAGCTTTCTGAGATTGAGCAGGGGTTTTGGCCGCGCGACAAGAGTGGGGGGGTCGGACGGAGGATGGGAATTTGCAAGATCTTGGGGCGAGGCGAATGTAGAGTGCAAGCCGTCGTGTCCATGCCTCTCGTGCTCTCCCTCTCTCCCCCCCGCTCTTTTGCGTTTATGCAGGAAAGGCCGCTTCCAGAAGTTCATTCCAATCCTTTATTGTCCCCAACTCGCTTGGCGGCAGTGGCAGTGAACCAATCTCAGGATGGGTGTGTCAAGCTGCAGCACAGATTGGTTGCCGGCTAAGGGTCTTGTTCTGTTCTGCCAGCCTGCACTTCAATGTGTTTGCTGCGGCAACTTGGCAATAAATTAAATTTGCTTGCATTGCATGCTGCATGACCCACTGGGCAATCTAAGGTGTATCATATCGCAACACTTTGCATTCTGTTTTGCTGGGCATGCGTCAACCCGTACTGCTCGAGGGGCTCAGCACAGGACGGTATCACAAGCCGCTGATGCGAGTGTACCTGTTGTATGATTGGTTGAGGACTGTTTTATGGGCAGACTCGCTTTTCTGCGAGTCACTTTGATGGTGGTTTGTACCGCGCAAGTCGCAGTGGCACCGTCCTCAGCCATAAATGCGATGGGATGTGGCCGGCATGCGGCCGAAAAGCCGAGGCCGCCATTTTCAGCTTTCCCTTCCTTCCTGACATGTCCGAATCAGCGGCAAGGCTTCTGGGCCTGGAGGCAGAGCTGCGTTCTGGTGTGCTGTGAGCAAGCATGAATTCATCGGGAGAGATGTTTTCGGGGACAGGTTGGTCTTCTCATGTACTGGCAGCTGCTGGCCAGCTTCTTTCTCATGCAGCTGCCGCTTTGCAGCATGCTGTGCGCTGCAATTTTTGCAATGGCTGACCGGAATTCAGACCCATTTTGCCTCAACTTGCCGCCCTTGCGCAATGTAGGATCAGCAGCATGATTTTGTGAATGACACTTTGGCAACAAGCACTATACTGTGGGAAACACCACGTTGTTTGTGAGTGTGGCTCTGTCTTACTTGGAAGTGCGGCTCTTGTGTGTGTGTGTGTGTGTGGCTGTGCGCGGCCTATTCTGGTCGCACTCCAGCTTCTATTTCCATTCTCCGTTCTCAACCCTGCACCCTGCCTCGCCTCCATTTCCACTCTGCTTCGGCCATCTCCGCCTGCTCCACCTTTCAGCAGTATCCCTCCACCTTGTAATCTTCACCTCTCCGCCCCACCACTCACCCTCCTCCACCCGCAAGCCTTCAGCTTCAATTCTCTTTGCCTAGTGCTCTCCATTCCTCCTCCAGTGTGCAAGGGTTGCACGGGCTCAGTTGAATGGACCTGCTTGTTCCCCCCCGCCACCCACTTTCCATGCAAAGCCATGCAGGAATTGAAATGATTGAAGCACGCCAATTTGTGCTGCACTCGCAAATAAGAGCCAAATATCAAATATCGTGGCCCTTCTCGCAGAAAAAAACACGTTTTGCAGCTACACGCACTCAAGCAAAAGGGGGACAAAAGAAACAGATCACTGGCAAACTTGAACATTAGCTGTACACTCCTTGCACCTGAGTAGATTTGTTCAGCATATGTGCTGCAAGCGCAAGTGAGAAACCCAGTAGAGTGTACTCCTTTGCAAAACGTGCTTTCGGAACTTGCAAGAGAGAGGGCCTCCCCAAGTGAGTTGGTAACCGATCTATTGCCGCATGATGCAGGCTACTTTGGCCTGCCTTCGTGGGGCAGAGGATTGAAGTGAGAGATGTTCAGGCAAATGCGGATGCATTTGTGATGTGTGGTACGTGAATGCCGTCAGGCCAAGCCGCTGAGCAGACCCCCTCGAGGCATCTCTGAGGACGGCGCAACGGGCTTGTGCCAGCTGCGCATATCATTCTTGCATGCAGGAAATCAGACGCATGGAGCAGGCAAGCCACCACGCTGGTCTAAACAAGTTCCAGGTCTCATTTGAGTGCAAAGTGGTTTGCTGATGCAGCCAGTTCGAGGTATTGTGACCGCGTAGGTGTTTTTTGGCGCATGGCTCTCAGCATTTTTACCTTTGTCGTTGCATGGAGTTCTAGGCGCCATCCCCGCCTTCAGCCAACGCTGTGGAGGCCTGCAGAGGACTGAAACCTTTGCAGTGTTTTTGCCAGCTCAGGCCCAGGGACGTGTACCGCATGCGTTGGGCGCCCAGATGCTGAGGATGCCGAATGTCTTTTCACAGGCTGATGTTCCGTTCAGTTTGAGTCAATGTCAGCAGCCAAGGCGAATACCTGATAGCCCTATGTCTATTCCCGCTGAAGGTATGGGAGTGTGGACCTTGGAATTCAAGCACTTAAAACCAAGTTGCTGCAGCGTTTCACGTTGAATAGAGCCTCACGTGTTGTCAAATGTTGGCGGTTTTGTGGAGAATGATGTGCCTATGCGCACGTACAATATTGTTGAAGCATGATGCGGTTAAGACTTCACCGCACTGGCTAGTCTTAATGTTTGTCTGGCTGTACTTTTGGTGCAACAAGGCTCAGATCGACAAGGAGGTTCAGTCTGCGAGGTGGCAACAATGGCTTGCGAATAAGGCCTGCCATTCAGATGTACCCTTTTTAGATCTTTTTAGCATTGAAGAAGGAGCACAGCCGACATTCTGAAGTGTTGTGAGTTGCTCTTTGCACTGACAGGTTAGCTTCGCATGTGGACGCAGTCCTTTGCCCTTGTTTTCCATGCTGCTCAACTGATGGAGTGCACGGTATTTTTCAGCGTCTACCGTCTAGCCTTGTGCGTGCGTTAAGATTTTTGTGGAAGTGAGGCTCTCTTTGGTTGTGGTTTGGCCGTCGTTAGCAACATTGCCGCTTTTGCTGCTCGGCTTGCAACTCCTGGGCACGACTACAGCAGCCTGCAAGAATCCACACAATGCAACATTTATCGGATGAATGCGAATCGAGGCTGGGTGGGCTCTGCCTAATGCACATTCCAGTGGATTACTTACCGCAAGCGACCCAGAGTGAAATCACGAAGCACAGGCAGGGTAATGTTATTTGCGTCCAACCTTGCCGCAAGAGTTTGCTAGATTTGCAATTGCCCGTACCACGATTGGTGCAAATGCAGATCTGCATCATGCATTTCTTTGTCACCAATAATCTAAATTGAAACTCCAGGCAGTGGTTTTTCCATTCACTCTTTCCGAGACTTCTTTTGCAGCCTCGGGCACAGATTCTTTCGCCCGCGTGCATCTGATGGATCCCACCTCTTCTCGGATAAAGGGCTTCCTCAAAACAACATGTCAGAGCGAGACAAGGAATTTGATCTTCGGGCTTCGTTGCATGAGGTGACACTAGGTGGAATGCTTCCAAAGCGGTAGTTTTTCGTTGACTCCGTCTACATTCCGTAACGCAATGTTTCTTTTCCATGACAGCGTGTCTTTGTGTATCGTGACACGCCATGAAGCAAGGCTGACTGATCCACCCAGGGATTTGATGTTAAGCTATCGCTGCCTATTGAATGTGCTGCAGCTTCAAACTTATTGCGCCATCGGTCTGTTCTTGAGGTCTTGCTTCTTTCATAGCCTTTTGGTGTACGAGATGCTGTGCAGCCTGATTTGGTACTGCGCAGAGCTCAGCTGCTCTTGCATTGATCTCATCCAAAACTTGGGCACCGCGTTGAAGCAACTCTGAGGCTTCAACATTTTCTGCAGTGCGACTGGGGCACCTTTATCCAATGTGCCTCGGGAATTCACCTGGATGGAACGAAGTGGTTTGCAATGCTACTTGCGGGCAGGAGTCTGTGGAATCATTGTCAACGTGCTTCATGTGGATGTCAGGACCATACAACCCAGAGCTTCGCCGGTATTTGTTTGCTCTGGGCCAGGCTGCAGTGCTATCATTGTTTTGCGCAGTTTGATTTGGTTGGTCAGGATAACAGGAATCGAAAGAAAATCCTGATGCATGATTCCTGCTCAGGGTGTGGCGTTGCTAGCTGCAGCCGCATGTGCGCGAAGCAGAGCTTGGCAGGCAAACTGGCACTCTTGCACTGAGTGCCAGCATGAATAATGGCTTGTGTGTTGGTGTGTGTGTTTGCGTGTGCTGGCGTGTTTGAACTTTGCCTTTCATGTCTAGCATCATACATTTGCTGTTGGACAAGGGCATTGAGAAGCGTGCGTGCGAAGCACGCAAAGTGTCAGAGGACCAGGCTTTTTGTGCTGCTTGTGAGTTGGACTCTGTTGTGAAAGTGTAACTGTTTGAAGTGTTGTCTTGCGGTAGGATGATGAAGTTGATGATAGAGCGCCACCTCACCCAGAGAATCCGACCTGCAGACAAGGCAACCCTTTGCAGCGGGAATGATTTGGATTGCATGAGATGCACTTCATTCAGGCAAACCAATCAAAACCGTCATGCCTACATCGCCGAATAACTGTAGTGCTCCTGTCTCGTTTCGCTGACTCGCGTCTTGCTGGACGCCATTGTACCAGCTTTCATCCTGCATCATATTTTCTGCTGGCAGGATGATTCCAAACTGCTATGTGAAGTATGGGCTTGGAGGTTTTGTAGCCCGATAACAAAGCGTTTTGAGCAGAACTTGCTCAATTCCAGATCTTTTGAAAGAACTGCTCAACTCATTTCTGTATGCGGTTCAATCGAGGGACCCTTGGTGCTTGTTGTTCGTGGTGGGCTGTAACGAGAGATCAATTTTCCAGCAGGCTGTTTCTGCCCGACAGCAGGCTGCCCCGTGCCAGGATGGGCGCACTGCGGCCCTGCTCAAGCTTGGGCTCAACCGCTTTTGACACTTTGGCTTCCACGTTGGTTAATCCTGGACTGCCCGCACGCTTGAGGTCAGGTGCGGTGAGCGGGGAGCCCGTGCTTGCAGGCTGCATTCTCTATCGTTCCGCCCAGTAAAAGCTTTCAGCGAGCCCCGCTCCTTGGCTGTCTCTGGCCGCCTGCTCGTTGCTCACGATCATGTGCTGGGGCGAAGTGTGGAGGCGTGGCACAGGCGCCCTATGGCAGGTTCGCGTTGGAGTGTCCAGGTTGCCGAAGCACCGCTCAGCCAGATTGTCCAGGCCCTCCAGGAGTTGGCCGACTGCGGCATGTGCTGGACTTGCAATCACATTTGCGAGTGAGCCTTGTCGGGCCTTCTGCCGGGCAGCTCCACCCCAGCAATGTCAATTTGTGCCGTTCTTGGCCCCGGAGCTTGAGCGCCCTGGGCTGCTCCCCCAACCCCTGCGGGCTTCAGCGCCTGGATGTCTGCAGCTGCGCTGCTCGTAGACATTCGTAGACGCTGTCAGCAAGCTGCCAATCCCCTTCGCTGCCTCAATTTGCCGGTCTTCTCTTGCCGGACTGCTCCTTCCAGTGCTCCGTCTGCCCGTTCCAGCGTTTGGCTTTTTTTCTGGGAGCAGAAAGCAGTCCGTGAATCGTGTCACCTTCGGGGAGCTGGGAACTTCTGGCCTTTTGGAGGGGCATTATGTTTTCTACATATTTTGTTGATTCTTTTTCGCTTTTGGCTTCTCTCGGCTTCTTGGCTTTTCGGCTTCTTGTTGGTTTATGCAGCTTTTGGTGGCTTTGGCTTTTCGCATCCTCTGCTTTCCCAGCTTTTTGGCTTTTGCACCCTTTGATTGGTTTCTGGTTTTGGCTTCCCGCATCCTCAGCATCACCAGTTCCTCCCTATTTGAATCATCACTTCGTCGAATATGATGGGGGGGGGTTCCCCCCCCCCCCGCCACCCCCCGGCTACTACTTTTTTCGATTTTCTGCAGAGATTTAATTGCACCCCTATTCTTCAAACATCATTGGGGGGGCTGCCGCCTCCCCCCCAACCCCCTCGCTACTTGTTAGATTTCTTGCAGAGACTTAATTGCACCCCTATTTGAATCATCACTTTTGCGAGCATCCAATTTCGCGAGAAAATGCTGTAAAATACGACATTTGTGGAATCTATGTAATCTATGTATGTCTGTATGTATGCGCTTCTTCGAACACCCACCAACCCTCCCGCTGCTTTGTATTTTCTATCGCACCCTTTCTTGAATCATTGCACCCCTATTTGAATCATCACTTCTTCGAACATCATGGCAGGCAGCCCCCCCAACCTACAGAGATTTAATTGTACCCCTGTTTGAATCATCACTTCTTCGAATATCATGGCCCCCCCCCCACCATGCCCTCCTTTTTGAAGCATCGTTGTTTCGACCTCGTCAACCCGTCAGCTCTTTTTAGAGGTTGTTACTCACGATTTGTTTGTGATGCTGGGGATGTTGGTCGGACATTCGGGGGATGTTGAAAACGATGCTGGGGATGTTGACGGGCTAGTGTAAAAGGAGTTTTTTGTTTTTTTTTTTTTTTGGCTTCTTGGCTTCTTGGCTTCTTGGCTTCTCGGCTTCTCGGCTTCTTGGCTTCTTGGCTTTTCGGCTTCTTGGCTTCTTGGCTTCTCGGCTTCTGGGCTTCTGGGCTTCTTGGCTTCTTGGCTTCTTGGCTTCTTGGCTTCTTGGCTTCTTGGCTTTTCGGCTTCTTGGCTTCTCGGCTTCTGGGCTTCTAGGCTTTTCGGCTTTTTGCTGGTTTATGCGGCTTTTGGTGGCTTTTTGGCTTTTCGCATCCTCTGCATTCCCAGTTCCTCTTCGGCAGGTGGCTTTTTTCCGACATCGCTGCCGCCCCCCCCCCAACCCCCCCGCTACTTTTTATATATTTTTTACAGGGATTGACATGGCCTCCTACTTGAATCATCATTTCTTTGACCCCGTCACACGATTTGTTGGTGATGCTAGGGATGTTGGTGGGACATGCGGGGTATATTTCGCGAGAACATGCTGTAAAATACGACACTTTACTGGCCCGGCAGAGATTGAATTGCACCCCTGTTTGAATCATCACTTTTTCGAGCGTCCAATTTCGCGAGAAAATGCTGCAAAATACGACATTTTAGGTAATCTGTGTAGTCCGTGTATGTCTGTATGTATGCATTTCTTCGAACATCATAGGGGAAGCCACCCCCGCCAACCCTCCCGCTGCCTCTTAAATTCTATCACACCCTTTCTTGAATCATTGCACCCCTACTTGAATCACCACTTCTTCCGACATCATGGGGGGGCGGCAGCCCCCCCCCAACCCCCTCGCTACGTTTTAGATTTTCTACAGAGATTTAATTAATTGCACCCCTAGTTGAATCATCAATTCTTCGAACATCATGGGGGGGGCTGCCGCCCCCCCCAACCCCCCCGCTACTTTTTAGACTTTTTGCAGAGATTTAATTGCACCCCTGTTCGAATCATCACTACCCCGCTCTGTTTTTCTTAATTGTTTTTTTTTGTATTTTTTTTGCTGGGATTGAAATGCCCTCCTGTTTGAAGCATTATTGTTTTGACCCCGTCAACCCGCCAGCTGCATTTTTGGATTTTGTTTCCCACGATTTGTTGGTGATGCTAGGGATGTTGGTCGGACATGCGGGGGATGTTGAAAACGATGCTGGGGATGTTGACGAGCTAGTGTAAAATGCGTCAATTTCGCGAGAAAATGCTGTAAAATACGACATTTTGCTGGCCCGGACGAAAAACGAAAAAAAATCCCAAAACAAAACGAAAAAAAATCCCAAAATAAATCCGCACCCAGTGTAAAATACGTCAATTTCGTGAGAAAATGCTGTAAAATACGACATTTTACTGGCCCGGATGAAAACGAAGAAAAACAAACATCCCAAAACAAAAACGGACACAATAATCCCGAAATAAATCCGCACCCCTGACTTTTGCAGGGCCGTCCTCTACATTCCTCTCCAGTGCAGTTTACCATCAGTGTTCTGGGGGCGGCACGAGCGCTCTGGGGCCCGAGTGCACATGTCATGTTTCTCAGATTCAATTCCAAGAAGGAACTGGCATACACATAGTCAGCAATAAAGTGTAGCGGGGGCGCTTGATTTGGGACATTTGTTGGTGCGATGCTGGGGCCTGAGGGAAGTCGGTTCTGGATGCCCATTTTTTTTTTCCCGTGGCTGCAGCTTCGAGTCAGTCTTCGATGCCGCAGGCAGATTTTTGCAGTCAACAGCTTTGCGGAAGGTGACTTGGGCATATGCTGCATATGCACATGTTGCGGGAGGGAATACCAAAGACATTGTAAAAGCGATGCGCGAACAGTCTTCGCTCTTAGGTTGTGGCATTGATCCGGCCTTTGACCGTGTCATTCGTGGTTTTGGCTGGAACCTCGAGAGTTGGCACTGTTTGGTTGCGTTTGGATCAAAGTACGCTGCAGTTGCCATTGCCCAGGTGGGTCTCGGGCAGAATCCGCCAAACCTGTTGGGGCTTGCATACTTGCTGCTCTGATGCATTGAAGTCACAATATCTTCAAGATGCTTCAACTGTTTTTCCAATTTTTTGCCACTGCTTGCCAGGCTGTGGCTAGTTGGTTTGGCCATTTGCGGAGCATTCACCTCTTATGTGAGCTCTGGTTCACATCTCAGCCTGACAAGCTTTAATTTTGTGTCAGATTCTTTGCGGCAATTGATCAAGGTTGGGATATCTTGCGAGCCTCTGGGTTCATGTGGCGAAGTGCGGACCTGATTTGTAGCGGATCGGCTCGCAAAGCAAAGCCGGATGGCAAGGCCTACTTCTGCTTAGCAACTGCGAAGTTTTGGCACTATTCTACTGGCAGGCAATGGCTGGCTCAACCTGAATCCTGCCTTTCATGCACCTTGGAGGTCATGCGCACCGATGACAACAACTTTGTTGGCTTACAGCGATCCATGCAGACACTACTTGAGGCCGGACACTGCAAAGGATCCAACCCAGAACAAAGCATGCCGGCAGAGGCAAAGGTGTGACTTTGCTCTGGGCCAGGTGTCCTGGTCGCACTTCGTCATCGGAGTCTTGGCTGCCGTGCAGACGTTGGCCCTATTTCAGCGAGTTCCCACTCCTGCCATGTTTGTAAACAGCAATTCAGCATTGGCGACTCAGCTGAAGGTGCATGGGACAGACTTACTTTTTTGACTCCTCGCATCCTTGAGGCATGGTTTCTTTGGATAGCTGGCATCTTCTTCGCTGGAATCCTATTTGTGCTGTTTCATTCGAAATTCGCACAGCTGCAGGGTACGGTCTTCTAAGGAGATGGGGCTGATGTTGAACATGGTGATGATTGAGCCATTCACAGTAGACTCTTTTTTCATTCTCATACTCATGCTAGGCCTGAACATCATTCATGTTTGCAGGGATGATACAGATGGCTTTGGCAGGCATCGTCGCTGTGGAGCAGTTCGATGCACCAACAACGTGGTGCCCTGCCGCCGTGTGATCGGTGAGACACGGCATGCTCATTTGCCCAGTTCAACATTGTAGGGCTCAACATTCGAAGGCGAAATTGGTTACTGACGGCCACAGCCGTCACGTGTGGAATTCTTCTGCCACTGCGCTACATGCTGCTGATGCCTCAGGCTGGCCTTACGCACGGCACAGCGAGGAATTTGCTCCTTGCCAGGTGCAGGAATGGCTGAGTGGTCCGAGCTCACCTTTGCCCAAGGAGCAGTACCTTCCTGTTTGGGAGGCATCTTGCAGTTGCTACATTCTGTGATGTACATGCGATCATGTTTGCTCATGATTCTGGCCTTCAGGCTTTTGCCCTGGCTGAGACGAGCATGGAGGTTGCGCACACTTAGCTGGCGAGTGCAACTGACATTTGCTGACAGGTTCGCGTGAAATTGGGATACTTGGCCACTTTATTGCTGGTCTCTGTGGGCCTGCCTTTGCCTGAGAAGACACGTGCCTGCGAGCCGAAGATTCAGATTGGCCGTTAATGGTTCTGGCTGACCAAGGCGGCGCATCTACCGCTTTGGAGAAGCAGCCACAGTCTAAGCCCTGTGCTGCCTTCAAAGCTTGCCTGGTGGGAAGATCCTTGCACCTGACTTGCAGGCCAGCTTGATCGGAGCGCGAAGCCAGGTGTTCATTACCAAGAACAAGGTGCAAGCTGGACAGTTGATAGATCGATTTCCTTGATCACTTGACTCCTTGACAAACATTGCACCATGCATTGTCATGAATCGTCGGAGGTGATGATGACGATATTGCTCGAGGCATCTTGCTTGGAAGTTGACTCGTCGATCTGGTGCGAAGCCCCGCTGCCCATGTTTTATTGCAGGCTGCTCGATGGTCGACGGTCGTTCTCATATGCACAGCCTACTTCATCATGCCGTACTGACCCTACAGAGCCACGAAACAAATGTGCTTGAGGGATGCGGCTGGAGCACCTTCACAATGTTTAGTTTTTAGCTCTTGCACAAGCTCAGGCACCCTTTCCCCAGAGCAAAGTGCTGTACCAGTGTACAAATCTTGGCATACCAAGGCGTAATAGTGCTTCATCACATTTGCAGCTCATTGTTCTGATCCTGATGTTGATGAGCCTGATACTCAGTCAGCTTTGCTCGGATCATAGAGTGGATGAGGGACTCAAATTCAGGTGGCCGAGGATGGAACTACGCTGGCGGTTTCATCTCCTTAACTTCATCAGTCTTGTCTTCAGAATTTGTTGCGTTTGAAGTTCATATGTAAATAGACAAACGATTTGCCCAGGTGCTGCTTTTGGCCCAATACGCCTACACATTCCAGCTGGTGGAGATTCCAGAAGATCAGGTGCTTGGCACATTGATAGCCGATGGCATGGATTGACGCTGGACAAAGGCGTGATTTTGTTTGCGCGAGGCTGCCTACTGGGGCCTCCATAGACAGTTGGCCCCCCAGAGCCATGGCAATGATGCAACGTGGCAATTCCAAGTAAAAATATTCTCTGCATGAGGGCAATGAGACCCAAAGCGCTGCCAACTGACTCGCAATGCCAAGGGGCTACTATGCAGAAGTCTCGTTGCTTTTGATTGGTATTGTGCAGCGCACAGTAAAGCGGGCAGCTTTGCCTTGCTCTCAGCATACCAGCATGACAGCTGATTGAGCTTTTTCGGGACTTCAAGAGCTTGGCACATTGGCGACTTGCAGCATGCTGCAGCAGGCACTGCCTCTCCAATGTTCCCAGCGCAGCGCAGCTGCATCAAGAGGCTGCGACACAATCCCGTGCAATTCCAGTCGTTTACATCTTGGGCACAGGACAACTTGTATTGATTTTACTAGTACTTTCCGAAAGCACCGCCAAGGGTTCTGCCGCTTGCTTTTTTACATTGGCCAGAGAACTTGGGGATGCGTATCAAACACAGTAATTACAAGCACCGGAAGAGCAACCTCCCCCCGGTGGGGGAGAGGGGCAGTTAGCAAGTGAACAACTTAACAATCGTCGGGGGTCGGGGGAATTAGCAAACCCTTTCCCAACCCTAGTCCTACCCTAAACCATGACAAAACTATGCCTTAGCCACCCTAAACCCATCCTAAACCAACCCTAACCCCTCACTAAACCCAGCTTAAACCACAACTAATCCCAAACAAATCCACCCCAAACCTGTAATAAAGAAGCCCTATTAAAACCTATAACCCGCCCAAAACCAACCCTATACCAATCCCAAGTTCATTAACCAACCCTAAGCCAGCTTTAAAGCAGCAGCATCCCTGAACCAGCCTGGGTCAACCCTAAACCCACCATAAACCAGTCCCAGCCACCCTAAACCAACCTCAACCCAGCCTAAACCACAACTAGATCCACCCTAAGCCCACACCTGCACCAACCCTACACAAACCCTACAGAAACCCTACACAAACCCTACACAAACCCTACACAAACCCCACAGCAACCCAGCCCTAAACCCACCCTAAACCAACCCTAAACCAGTCCTAAACCCACCTTAAACCAACCCTAAACCCAGCGCAAACAGCACAAAACAATCTCTAAGCCACCCTAAACAGACCCTAAGCCAAGAAACCCTATTCCAATAACAAACTTAACCCACCCGAAACAAGCCCTAAACCCACCCTAAACCACCTCTGAACCATCCCTAAACCAACCCGGAACTCACCATAAACCCACCTAAACCGAGCCTTGAACCCACCCCAAACCAGCACTAAACCAACCTAAACCTTCCCTAGACAAACACCCCAAACTCAGTCAAAGCCAAAGCTTTTAGTGATGCCGGGAGTGTTGAAAACGATGCAGGGGACGTTGATGGTGCATTTTGTTAGCAAATGGTGTAGAGCATGTCATTGAAGTGCCTGCCGAACTTAGGAAGAAACGGCCCGCCGAACCTCGGGAAACACACACTTTCCTCCCGCCCTCGGTATTAGAGAGTTATTTTTTGATCCCACACATATTTTTAGTTCCTCTACATGAGAACTTGCTCTGAGAACTTGCTCGGAGAAGCTTGCTCAAAGAAAGCTGCCGAGAGAACTTTCTGAGAACTTGCTCAGATCATTTGCCCAGAGATTCTTGCCCAGAGATTCTTGCTTGGCTTGCTCAGAGGACTTGCTCAGATAAACTTGCTCAGCTCAGAGAACTCGCTTCGAACAACTTGCATAGAGGAATTCTTTTGTAGCTTAAAGCTTTGCAAGTTGGGGGGAAACGCACGCGCTGCTCAACATTGCAACCCTTTGATCGGCGGCTTGACCGTTGAGAACTCGAGCGTTTTCCCGAAAGCATTACGAAGAGTTCTTCCGGTAAGATCGCTTGCTTCTTGAGCAGAGAGAGAGTGAGAGAGAGAGCGCGCAGAGCGACGCAGGTGGATGAGATCGCCCCTTGCGCAGAGAGACAGCGCGCAGAGTGAAACAGATAGATAGTGCAGAAAACATATTTGAGAGTTGCGCAGAGGTTTTGCCTTATTGATTACACGGGAGATATCATGTAAAGTCCACGTGCGGCGACTGAGGACCTGCGCTTGGAAATTAAAATTATTCTTCTCAGGCGGCGCGGCAAGATCGAACTCAGCAAAATTGCGACCCTGTGCAAATCTCGGCCTGGTCGATGTGCAAAACCGTGTCTTTTGCCACTACCTCGTTTCGCAACTTTTCCACATCCTCACGCGACATTCATGGTCATCGATGTGCAAAAAGCCGCGTGTTTCAATGAGTCCTTTCGTGGACATTGGCGTGTGTGTGTGTGTGTGTGTGTGTGTGTGTGTGTGTGTTTTTCTCGAGCATTGCGCAAAGATTCTCGCGGAGAGGGTTGCGAAGAGAACTTGCGCAGAGAACCTGGTGCAGAGAGAGCCTGCCTCGCGCCTTGCGTCGCCCGTGTGCTTTTGCATGCAAGTTTATACTGACCGACCCGACTCTGAAATTGGGACCGCCTGGCGGCCATAAAAAAAGGCCCGCGCGTTTGTTTAGCAAGCAAGACGAAGAGCGGACAAAGACGCGTCCCAAATCTGGGCCCGCCAGGCGGCCCTCAAAATAGGTCCGTGAAAAGCGGGCGCCAAACGTCTCGTTCATCGCGAGCAAACACTTGCGCGGCGGCGCTGCGAGCACGCGCTGTTGTTTGGCACTCGGCAGTGCTCATCTTGGAAGCACAAGCGCAGCGAAGGATAAGAACGTTTATCTTTCACGGAGCGTCGTTTGCTCCTTTTGGCCGCATGGTTTGCAGTTTCCGGGAGCTTGTTTGTGTTTCGGCACTTGGTTGCGCCCGTCTTGGAGAGACAAGAGCCACGAAGGACGGGAACTTTCATTTTGCTTGGGAAAATATTTGCTCTTTTGACAGCATGCCGCGCGGAGTTTGGAAAATTGAAGCGCTTGTTGACTTTCCACTTGCCTACAACTCGGTCAGTTTTGCTTTTGGGCCGCCTGCCTAGTTTTGAATGTTATCAACTCTTCCTTCCTCATTGTGACAAGCAATCCTTGAATACGAACAAAAGTTCAAGTCCGATCATTGCTACCCACCATACCAGCTTGTGATACAGGCGCGGGAGCGCAGGCAGCAGGTGCGGCAGGAGCGCTCTTTGTTGCAAGTCATGTAGGTCTCCAGTGCATTGTGCGCCGCATGCCTTTTGCCTTCCGAATGCAGCACCTCTGTGCTCAAGATTTTGGATAAAGCCCGTGGGCACACTGACGTCGGGTTGGCGCCATGCACTGCGACGGATTTATGGCCCCTGGCCTCCTGTATGGCTCCTTGTCTTGCAAGATGGGTTTGTGCGATGCAAACAGCACGATATGGCCCTCAGGAACAGCAGCTTGGCTTGCTTTCGGGCTTGTTGGTATGGGAGTGGCATTTCGGTTCTTCGTCAAGGACTGATATGTGACAGCGTTTCATTTTGCACGTAAAATGCAGCAGTCTGTTTTACCCTTCAGCCAGTCGCATTCGTGTGCAGCTTCCAAGCTGGTGAATGCTAAGTGTCCGAACCCTCAACTCACAGGGAAGACACAATCAGGAAAAGCAAGCTTTGCCAGCATCAGGGGAAGTCACAAACATCAGTGCTGAGTTGGGACAGGATTATCCGAGAATCACTAAAGACGAGAGCTCGCAATTGGCAATGGTGGTGGTGTGGACATCCACAATCTGCCGCTCGGCGTAAAGAGTTGCTTTGCTTCTTCTTGCATATGCGCTGTGCCCTCGGGCCAACCAAGGTATGTGGCTCTTCTGGGCGTTTGTCTACATGCATCAAATGGCGCCTTTGGACATGGTTCCGGCAGTCGATGCGAGACTTTTAGGGCTTCAAGCCGTCAGGCCGTAGCGTTTTCTCCAAGGTGCCCTTGATCTACCCGGTACGCACGCCAGAAGCCTCGTGAGTACGCAGAATTTTGACACTGGGAATTATCAGAATTGGGATGCCGATCTCGAATGAGGTTGTTGTGGTAGAGCTGTAGAGATGGTGCCTGATCATGTTGCTGGGAGAATCCCCAAAGTTGCAGAGCTCCGACTCCTGTGAGGGTGCAAAAAAGAGAGATGGTGCTTTTGAGCTTTGCCTATCTTCTGCTCAAGCCTTGCGTACTGTTCCTTTTCTCGAAGGAGACTGTTGCCTACAGCGCACACATTGGGGCGGCTATCCTGCTGCTGGCTGGACTGTTTTGCAATAGCGCGAGAGGCTTAAGACTTTTGAGTTGGTCGTGATGGGTCCGGTTTACAATGGTTGCGCATGATGTTTGAACAGTACGATCTTGGTCAAAACGAGAGACTGATGTTGTCTTGAACGAATCCCTTCGCTTCGTGTCGCTTTGCTTCGCTTTACTTCATTCAACCATCCAAAGTACTTGCACACAGCTGAGTTGCTCCGACACATCATGATATCACAGGCTTCGAATGGTGTCCAAGGCTTGGTCACTGATCTACATTGGAATGGTCATGCTTTTCGCTTGCAGCAAGGACATATTGAATCGTTCACAGTGTGGGCAGATGTTGCTGTTGTGTTTTCTGCTCAAGGGAGCCGTAGACCTAGAGCTTGCTATCCTGCCAGAGAATTGTTTTCAACATGTTGACTAAACGCCGCATACGACAGTTGACGCAAATGTGCCCTGTGCATTGCAAGGCAGCTTGACAATGTCAATGATATTATGGCCTCTTTTCATATTTGGTCGCAGTCTTTTTGGCGAACACAGACGAAAAGAGAGACTCTGAACCTTGTTGCTTCGCATCTTTCGGGGGGGGGGGTGTTGGTTTGGCGGGAGGCGGGGGGGTTGTGGTTGTGTGTGTGTGTGCTTTAAATCTTGCAACTTGTTGCATAAGTCGAGTGCATTTCAGTTTGCATTTCGCGCGCAACCGATATGCGGTGTTGCGTGAATGCTCCTTGCGTGATTCCTATCTTCTTCTTTCCTGCATGCGTTTCTTTTTGCATTTTGATGCAACTGGTATGCAGATGAGTGCCGGACCCCAGAGCGGAGCTGAAGGTGGAGCGAGGGTGGCCCACGCGAGCTTTGCGGAGGCGGCCGAACAACGGCCCTGTAAAGTGGGCTCTCTCAAACACTTAGCCTCTCTCCAAGCCTTGCGGCTGCCTCGATGTGGACACATATGCAGCAGTAGGGACTTGCGTTGTCAAGTTGATGAATCGAACTGGTAATGCCGATGTATTTCCGTCTCCGGGGCCCACCGTTAGAACTCAACAATAGCAATTGTCCTTAGTTTCCGACTTTCATTTGCTTTACGCAAACCATCAAGCTAGATGTTTAAGTAAACAACAGCCTCATACTCTCGGGCTTCGGAGCCGTAAAGCCTCAGCATTCGCATATCATCAGGGCCGAAACTTGGGGTTTCCCAAAATACGCTTTTTGCTTGCACGCTTTGGAGCTGTAAACCGCCAAAGTACCCCTCAAAACCACAAACATGCACATGTACAAATTGACGTCCACTGCACCTTTTGGCATCGAAGCCCCACCGCCTGCACTGGAACGTGCACAGGAACATGCACGGGAACATGCGCGGGAACCTGCACGGGAACAGACTGAACGTTATTTGCCTGAACCTCCAAAAGATAGGGACAAACAAGCAAACACAACGCACCCAGAGAGACTGTGGTGAACATGGTGGACCAAGACCTTCTCATTCCTCCAGAGTCGCCTGCACCCCACAGGCAGCGGCTGCATTCATGATGACAAGCCGACTCTGGGAGAGACGAAAGAGATGTATGGTCACACAAATTATATATACGTACAAATATATATATATATATATACATATATATATATAAACATGTATATACATATAACACGTACATGTGCAATCTGGCTTTCAGTATTGGACAACGCTTTCTGAAGGACAGTCGACGATGCTGCTCGGCTGGAGCATCAAACTGGTGGTTGAGGCCAGCCTTCCTGGGATGGATTCATGGAATGGACGCATGGACAAGAGTTTGTCTTCGACATACTACTTTTTGCAAGCAGGTAGCTCAACTTGTACGTAATGTGGCACGCTTGCCGCCGGAGGCTCTTCATCCTCCTCCTCGCACTCTCCTTGACTGTTTATTTGGGATTTGAGGTGAGTTGGCCCGCGCGTGCTTTCCCTGCGAACAACATCTTTTGACAGGCTTGGCTTCCACCTGGCACCTTGAAAAAGCCTTCAGCAGACCTCGTTTCAAGCTTGCTTTGCGAGGCTTCGGCAACTGGTTGCATTGTACACTGCGCGGCCTTGGTGAACAAAGCTAAGCATGTGGCTTGCCAGAAATATGCGGACGCTCCGATGATCTGGAACTCTGCGCGACAGTGCCTGCCAGGAGGCCGCTTGTTCTCAAAGTTTCTTGTGCTCTACATGCTGATTCTTTGGTGCAAATTTGTGAGGGGAGCTTTTGAAAGGTTAATTACCCCCACCCTCCCGAAATCCCGGCAGGTAGCCCCCAATTGTGAGCCCATTTTATGGTCATCCGCAGAGACCCTAGTCAGGCTCTATGCAGGGTTAGAAAAAGGGGGAATCTGCTTGGTGCTTGGGTGCCGAAATCCGCTTTTGCACTGAGCATTTTTCAGTAAGCATTGGACGACAACTGACAACAAGGCAATGTTGAGATCACCAGTCACTAGCAGGCGAAGTCATTGCAAATTTTCAGCACACAAACTGATTTTTTGGGAGGGAAATGGCGGAATTTCGGTTTTCTACTGTGGCAGCGACGAAGTGCACTTCAGGGTTTTTCCGTGGGCATTTCAACCCCCACGTGCCGTTCTTTGGTGGCGAACGAGGGTGTTGCAGACTGACAGGCTGTGCGTCACAGCGCCAGCTTTGTGGGCAAGCCTGGGCGTCATGGATTGGCCTGTCTGAAAACTCAGAGGCGGGCGATTCACCTCAAAGGATGACTTGGTTGATGTCGGAAGAGTTGTTTGCTGTCAGTTTTGCGCAGTCCTCTTGCTGGATTGCTTGGCATTTGCCATCCGTCAGCATGATGCAGTGTGAGTATGACGAGTCTGACGAGCGGTGACCGCGGTGACCTTTCACGCTTCAGGGAAGCAGCCGCATTACCTTCAACTTCATGACCTTCTTTTGTGCCGATATCTCAGACTTGAACACAAACTGACAGCTTGCCAGAAGCCGCTTGTCGGATTGAGTTGTCTGAAGGTATGTTTGCTGCGGCATATGTGCCTGGCAGAACTGGACTGCCAATGCAGCGCCATGCAAGAGACTCCCGGCAAGTGCTTCATGGTCCTTTGGCACAGCGTACAAGATTGGCCAACAGTGAGATAGTTGCAATGCGATTGGTTTTCAAAACGAGGAAAGCTGCCGAGGGTGAGGACCCATGCCGAAAACACTTCGATTCCCAAGGCTGAACAAGTGAAAATGACGATCTCATTCCTGGGAGGAGGCAACTGCCACTTCTAGCCCAGAGGAGGTGACCGGCTTCACTGCGTGGCATAAGCCTAACCGAGACTGAGCAATTTGATGCCAGGTCGAGATGGACATGCAGGCAGGACGTACAGACGTGGTGCCGAGTGGAGATGCAGCATTCCTGGCTGTCAGGAAGGCGATGAGGGTGGCTGGAGTGCCAGAATCCCGCATGGCTCTCAGTGTGTGTGTGTGTGTGTGCGTACGCATGTGCCGTGCGTGTGCTGTGCGTGTACTTGTGCGTGTGCTTGTGCTGTGCGTGCGTGCGTGCGCGAATGCGAATGCGAATGCGAATGCGAATGCGTGTGCGTGTGCGTGTGCGTGTGCGTGTGCGTGTGCGTGTGCGTGTGCGTGTGCGTGTGCGTGTGCGTGTGCGTGTGCGTGTGCGTGTGCGTGTGCGTGTGCGTGTGCGTGTGCGTGTGCGTGTGCGTGTGCGTGTGCGTGTGCGTGTGCGTGTGCGTGTGCGTGTGCGTGTGCGTGTGCGTGTGCGTGTGCGTGTGCGTGTGCGTGTGCGTGTGCGTGTGCGTGTGTGTGTGTGTGTGTGTGTGTGTGTGTGTGTGTGTGTGTGTGTGTGTGTGTGTGTGTGGTGTGTGTGTGTGTGTGTGTGTGTGTGTGTGTGTGTGTGTGTGTGTGTGTGTGTGTGTGTGTGTGTGTGTGTGTGTGTGTGTGTGTGTGTGTGTGTGTGTGTGTGTGTGTGTGTGTGTGTGTGTGTGTGTGTGTGTGTGTGTGTGTGTGTGTGTGTTGTGTGCGTGTGTGCGTGTGTGCGTGTGTGCGTGTGTGTGCGTGTGTGTGTGTGTGTGTGTGTGTGTGTGTGTGTGTGTGTGTGTGTGTGTGTGTGTGTGTGTGTGTGTGTGTGTGTGTGTGTGTGTGGTGTGTGTGTGTGTGTGTGTGTGTGTGTGTGTGTGTGTGTGTGTGTGTGTGTGTGTGTGTGTGTGCATGCAGGCGCGCACGCGTGCGTGCGTGCGTGCGTGCGTGCGTGCGTGCGTGCGTGCGTGCGTGCGTGCGTGCGTGCGTGCGTGCGTGCGTGCGTGCGCGCGCGCGTGTGTGGGTGGGTGGGTTGGTGGGTGGGTGGGTGGGTGGGTGGGTGGGTGGGTGGGTGTGTGGGTGTGTTTTCTGTGCGTTTGTGCGTGCGTGGGTGTGCGGGTGTGTTTGTGTGTGTGTGTGTCTGCGTACGCATGTGCCGCGTGTGTGCTGCGCGTGTACTTGTGCGTGTGCGGTGCGGTGCCACGGACGCGCGCGGTTGTGCGCGTCTATGTTTGTGTGTGTGTGTGTGTAGATGCGTGCTTGTGCTGTGCGTGCGTGCGTGCGTGCGTGCGTGCGCGCATGCGTGTGTGCGTGCGTGTGCGTGTGTGTGTGTGTGTGGATGTGCGGGTGGGTGGGTGCGTGCGTGTGCGTGTGTGTGCGCTGTGCGTGCAGGCGCGCACGCGTGCGCGCGTGCGTAGGCGCGGGTGTGTGTGTGTGTGTATGTGTGGATGTGTGGGTGTGTTTTCTGTGCGTTTGTGCGTGCGTGCGTGTGCGGGTGTGTTTGTGTGTGTGTGTGGCTGGGCGGGTGGGTGCGTGCGTGTGCTGTGCGTGCGTGTGCTGTGCGTGCGTGTGCTGTGCGTGCGTGTGTGCGCGTGTGTCTGTGTGGGCGTGTGTGTGTGTGCGGAGCATCAGATTTGCCCTGATGCCAACTTTTCAACATGCAGGGGGCTGGAGCCGGCCCGGGGGGAGTCTCCAGCCAACGAAGACGCCCCCCGGTGTCCGGGTCCAAACGTACCTGCGGGGCTGCGCCTCGGCCATTGTCATGGCAGCTGGCGGGCCCACCCCAAACAAAGGTCCCCTTTTTGCCCTTTTCTCCAAAACCAGCTGAACCCCAGCTGTACTCGAGACTCACCAGTTGTACTCGAACGATGAGAGACTCACCAGTTGTACTCAAGACTCATCAGTTGTACTCGAACGATTAGCATTCTTGCTTGGGAGTTGAAGTGCGTGTGTGTGTGTGTGTGTGCGTGGGTGGGTGGGTGGGTGGGTGGGGTGGGTGGGTGGGATTGGTGCGTGCAGGTGCTGTGCCTGCGTGCGAGCGCGCGCACGCGTGTGTGGCGCGCGCTCGCACGCGCGCGAGCGCGCGTGTGTGTGTGTGTGTGCGGAATTCCTGATTTACTCGGAACGAACAACTGCATCAGGGGGGACCTGGCGGGATACGAGCGTATGCGCGGGGGTGCTGTTGGTGCATGAGCACGTGTTTCAATGTATGTGCGAATCTATGAATAGTACGTTATGTGCATACATCCGCGCACCCACGTGTATGTGTGTATGTAAGAAAAGACACGCCTGCGTACCTAGTAGTATAGAAAGATGTATGCTTACAATTGCGATGATGCAGATTGACAACAGTTTGCCAGATCCAAGGCAACTGGCCGCCACCTGGCCATCCATTCTTCTCAATGCCTCTCTCGCCTTAGCGGCGATTCAGCAACTTGATTCAGATTTCATCCGGACGTCTTTTTTCCGCACTTGCAAAAGAATAGTCAGACGTATGATTTGTGTGTGCCAAAACACCTGCAGGCACCTGAGGGGCGAGCCATGCTGAAAGAATGTCTTCAACCCAGCAGTGTTTTGAAGGGGCTTTCCGCCAGCCGCCAAGAAGATGCCGAAGTTGATGATCGGAACGTTGTTTGTTTTCCAGGGAAGTTGTCAGTTGTCAAAGAACATCTGGAAATCAATTGTGGTATAAAATCAGGCCGTTTCAACAAAGAGCCTTCCCCAATACCAGCTGCAATGACAAGACAAAGACCGCACCACACAAAATCCAGAGACAGAGTTTTATCAGAAACAGTCCTTTCCCAAGGACAACATTCCACGTGACCAAGCACCATTAAGTTGGTAGTCTCTCGCGCGTGTTCGAAGGCAGCAGTGCGACAAATGCGGAGAAGCTGACAAGGCAAGGTCTGCGCACGCGCGCAGGGTTGCGGAAGGCAGCTCAGAGCAAGCAAGCGAGCAAACAAGCAAGCCGCACAAACAAAGTGCTTTAGCCCGCAGCATCAGCCGCATCTTCAGCGCTGGTGCTACTTTGGAGGATTGCGCCCAGGTGCTGATGGTGCTACAGCCACCGCAGCCCAAGGTAGAAATGCTGGCTGGCGTCGCTAGCATTTCAGATCTACTCAGGTTTGGTATGCTTGGGCGCGTGGGGCAGGCACAATTTCCCTTGACATGGAAGTGTGTGTGTGTGTGTGCGCACCCGTGCACGCGTGCATCGCCAACAGATGCAGCCAACCCAAGGCCTGGAAAGCCAGACGCTTTCTGAATCTGTGAAATTCCCAACATTTAGTCCTTGGCGCAAGGCGAGACAAGCAAGAGGTCCACAGAGATTATCCGCAGCAAAGTCAGTGGAGACGTGCACGCTGTTCTACGTTGAAAGCACCAGTTTGTCCAGTTTTTTTTGTTTCAGGATGTTTTTTGTTTTTCTCCTGGCTTTTTGCGGGCTTTCGTGGGCACCCCGCTTCCTCAGCGTCACCCGTAGCACCCCCAGCATCACTACCTTTCGTTGGCTTTTTGGTGTTTGCTTGGCTCGCAGGTTCCTGCCGTTTCGGCTCCTTGACTTGTTGGCTTTTTGGGGTCTCAGCTTCTTAGAGCACCTTGTTTGTAATCGCGCACTTTCACCATTCGTGTCTTCATTTGCTTTCTAATGGGGGGCTGCGCCAACCCCCCCCTTAAAAGGGCAAACCCAAACCCCTGAACGAGCCCACCCTCCTCACTAAAACTAGGTTGATTTGCCCTAAAGAAACCCTCAAGCTCTGAAACCACCCTAAGCCATCCTAAAACCCACCCCCAACCCTACACTAAGCACGCACTAAACCATCCCTAATAAGCCCACCTTAAACCATCCCTAAAAAACACCCTAAGCAACATACCAACCCTAACCACCCCCAAGCTTGCCCTAAACAGGCCTGGAACCCACACTGAACCAACCCTACCCCAACTTTGAACCGAACCCAGCCTAAACCCAAAGCCAACTGGTGATGCTGAGAATGCTGCAAACGATGCCGAGGATGTTAAAGCGCTAGCAGTGCTGGTGCAAAACGGGTGATTTTGAGTGAACGTGCTGAAATAAATATACAGCTTCTTAGCGAAGACAGGCTGCTGGGGTGTCGGCCAAAAAGCAGCGCCCAGCTGAAACTCATCAGGCTGCCGCGCGATCGGCAAGCAGACGTTTAGAGACAGCCATGCTCTGTGCTGGCATGCGTAAATGAAGCAGCCGGCCGCGATCTGCGCGAAAGTTTGCAACACGCAGAACATGGCAACTGGTTAGCTGAGGTGTGTGTGTGTGTGTATGCCAGTTACGGCAGTCTGCATCCTAGCTCAGTGTCTGGTCTAGTGGTGTCCGCACTTCGATTGCAACGGCAAGCGATTGCAGCTCTTCACGGGAAAGCACTTTCCACCAGCGTCAACTTCAAGCATGGCCCAATATTGCAGGATGGCGCTGTCGCATTTCCATCCTGATAAGCGTGGTGGACAGCTCCGGCTCTTTTGAGGATTCATGCCTTCAGCTCATATTCTTCCCGCGTTTCGCCTTTGGAGGGTCGGCGCTACATTGAGCAGTGCACTCTTGACTTCACCATTGCTGGTAATTTTGTGGTGCTCTATGGTCAGTTGTGGGCGAAGAGCTCTTCGGCGGCGGCGGCGCTGTGGCAGAACTGCGGTCGGCGTTCAACATGTTATCCGTTGACCTGCTGTGTTGACTGCTTATAAACCGTCTGTTCTGACATTCCAGCGCAGCGCCGTGGATTCGAACCATCTCACCATTTTTTTTTACAAGGACCTCAATACAAAGTGGTCAAATATTCGGTAGTCTATGGGCCTCTTAGCCCCCTGCGCCGCCCTGCCGCGCCGCCCCGCCGCGCCCCGGGCACGCCCGCGCACGCCCGCCGCCAGCCGCCACCCCGCCCCGCCACGCCCCGCCCCGCCACGCCCTCCCCCCCCGCCACGTCGCCCGCCCGCCCGCCCGCCCCGCCCGCCCCCGCGCGCCCCCCGCCCCGCCCGTTCGCCCCGCCACCCGCCCCGCCCCCCGCCCGCCCGCGCGCGCGCCGAGCGCAGCGCAGCGCCCCTCCGCCCCCCCACCTGCCCGCCCCGCCCCCCCATGCATGCACGCAGGCACGCCCGCCCCGCCTGCCCGCTTCGCCACACGCACGCACGCACGCACTCGCACGCACGCGCACGCGCACGCGCACGCGCACGCGCACGCGCACGCGCCACGCGCACGCGCACGCGCACGCGACGCAGCACGCACACGCAGCACGGCACACGCGCACGCGCACGCGCAGCACGCGCACGCGCAGCACGCGCAGCACGCGCACGCGCACGCGCACGCGCACGCACACGCACACGCGCACGCACACGCACACGCACACGCACACGCACACGCACACGCACACGCACACGCACACGCACACGCACACGCACACGCACACGCACACGCGCACGCACTGACACACGCGCGCACTGACACACGCAGGCACTTACACACGCACGCACTGACACACACACACACACAGACACACCCACACACCCACATACCAATACCCACACCCACACCCACACACACACACACACCCACACCCACACCCACACCCACACTCACACTCACACCCAGACCCACACCCACACCCACACCCACACCCACACCCACACCCACACGCACACGCACACGCACACGCACACGCACACGCGCACGCACACGCACACGCACACGCACACGCGCACGCACACGCACACGCACACGCACACGCACACGCACACGCACACGCGCACACGCACGCGCACCCGCGCATGCGCGCATGCGCACATGCGCACATGCGCACATGCGCGCACGCACGCGCACGCACGCGCACGCAAACGCACGCACACGCACGCAAACACACACACACACACAAACACACACACACACAAACACACACACACACGCACAAAAACACACACAAACACACACACACAAACACACAAACACACAAACACACAAACACACAAACACACAAACACACAAACACACAAACACACAAACACACAAACACACAAACACACAAACACACAAACACACAAACACACAAGCACACAAACACACAAACACCCAAACACCCAAACACACAAACACACAAACACCCAAACACACAAACACACAAACACACAAACACACAAACACACAAACACACAAACACACAAACACACAAACACACAAACACACAAACACACAAACACACAAACACACAAACACACAAACACACAAACACACAAACACACAAACACACAAAACACACAAAACACACAAAAACACACAAAAACACACACAAACACACACAAACACACACAAACACACACAAACACACACAAACACACACAAACACACACAAACACACACAAACACACACAAACACACACAAACACACACACAAACACACACAAACACACACAAACACACACAAACACACACAACCACACACAACCACACACAACCACACACAACCACACACAACCACACACAAACACACAAACACACAAACACACAAACACACAAACACACAAACACACAAACACACAAACACACAAACACACAAACACACACAAACAAACACAAACACAAACACAAACACAAACACAAACACAAACACAAACACAAACACACACACAAACACACAAACACACACTAACACACACAAACACACACAAACACACACAAACACACACAAACACACACAAACACACACAAACACACACAAACACACACAAACACACACAAACACACACAAACACACACAAAAACACACAAAAACACACAAAAACACACAAAAACACACAAAAACACTCAAACACACACAAACACACACAAACACACAAACACACAAACACACACAAACACACAAACACACAAACACACAAACACACAAACACACAAACACACAAACACACAAACACACAAACACACAAACACACAAACACACAAACACACAAACACACAATCACACAAACAGACAAACAGACAAACACACACAAACACACACAAACACACACAAACACACACAAACACACACAAACACACACACAAACACACACAAACACACACACACACAAACACACACACAAACACACACAAACACACACAAACACACACAAACACACACAAACACACACAAACACACACACAAACACACACAAACACACAAAAACACACAAAAACACTAAAAAAAACACCCAAAAACACCCAAAAACACACAAAAACACCCAAAAACACCCAAAAACACGCAAAACCACGCAAAACACGCAAAAACACGCAAAAAAACGCAAACACACGCAAAAAAAAAGCAACACCACGCAAACACACGCAATAACACGCAAAAACACGCAAAAAAACACGCAAAAACACACAAAAACACGCAAAACAACACGCAAAAACACGCAAACAACACGCAAAAAACACGCAAACACACGCAAAAACACGCAAAAACACGCAACAACACGCACAAACACGCAACAACACACAAAAACACGCCAAAAACACGCCAAAAACACGCCAAAAACACGCCAAAAACATGCCAAAACACGCCAAAACACGCAAAAACACGCAAAAAACACGCACAAACACGCACAAACACGCACAAACACGCAAAAACACGCAAAAACACGCACAAACACGCACAAACACACACAAACACACACAAACACCCACAAACACACACAAACACACACAACCACACACAAACACACACAAACACACACAAACACACACACACAAACACACACAAACACACACAAACACACACAAACACACACAAACACACACAAACACACACAAACACACACAAACACACACAAACACACACAAACACACACAAACACACACAAACACACACAAACACACACAAGCACACACAAACACACACAAACACACACAAACACACACAAACACACACACAAACACACACACAAACACACACACACAAACACACACAAACACACACAAACACACACAAACACACACAAACACACACACAAACACACACAAACACGCACAAACACACACAAACACACAAACACACAAACACACAAACACACAAACACAACTTGGGTGGGAACTTTCTCACAAAATCCGGGGACTTACCTAATTGTTTTTATGTCTATTGAGGCCACTGCATATTTTGACCGTAGCATATATGTGGGAATTGCTGTGTTCACCATTGTTTCCGGGCACTTCCCCCCTCGAGGCAGGGATCGGTGTGTCTATAGAATAAAGTCAACAGGAATATGTAGGATGGTGTGGGTTACAAGAAAGCTGCTTGAATGAACGCTAGATTGATTGCCAGCCAACATGCAGTGTGCTACTTTGGCATTCTCACTCCGAGTTCATTGTCTTTTTCAAGATCATTTCAGTGGCAAACAAGTTTGGACTTCTTTTTGCCAGTCCACTCAGGAAGCGATCAGTTCAGATTGGGCAACTACGGACAAGAAAGAAAGAGCTTTGTTGATTCATGCACACATCGGGAAGATCTCAGCCACACCATTTCAATAACACTGGTCAAAGCAGAAGTCATGGAGGGTAGCTTCGAGAGCTTATATTGCAAGCATGAAGATGAGAGCTGCAGGCAGAGCTTCAGGATCGTAATGGTAGATGAGTTGCGGTAGCAGCTGATGCCACGCAAGCTGCAAGGAGCAACTGGTTGCAGACATGCTCATGAAAGCAATTCGGACAAATGAGAAACAACAACAATTTGCAAACCACGGACACTACGCCAGCAAAGGGGATGCGGGAAGGAACTAGCGTGAGATTCAACGATCCTTGGAAGAGAACAGCCGGACAATCAGTGTAAGAATTATGTCGAACTCGCATTGCCCAAGGAAGCAAATTGTCAACGAAACCAATGTAGGCTGGAACTTTCGGCATAGCAGTCTGTCATTTCATGAGGAGGTCAGCTTAACGTTGCCTTCTTTATTTCATAGCCTAATGTGCCAAGGCAGCCTGATGCAAGTCTGATTTCTCTCTGCAACTTTGCTGCACTCTGGAGTAGTTTTGCATTGTCCGCCTCTCTAGTTGTGTTAGGTTGAGCTTGCTTGAGGCTACCTGATGCTGCTGCTGTGGAACCTTTTCACGCTTCAAAGTGTGCAGGACCTAGGAATGGTATTCAAATGATACAATTAAGCTTTGGCTTGAACAAGAAGAAGAGCCACAGCGCTGGTTTCTGCCAGGTTCAACTTGTAGAGGCTTCGCACAAAACACGGAAGCGAGCCAACAAATGGATTCAGGGCTGCAACTTGGCTGGGACCTCGGCGTGTTGAAGCAAGGAGCGAGTTCATTAGAGTTTCCTCGGCGCAAACCCGTTTGATTGCAAGCAGGCGTTTTGCTTCGCGGTGGCATGCTTCCAGTGTCCTGCAGTTCCATGTGCGTTTGCCTGGAGCTTAGTGAGTTGCTGTGTAAATATGTGGGAAACAAACACAAGCACAAACACAAACACTAACACACACACAAACAAACACACAAACACACACCCACCCACCCACCCACCCACCCGCCCACCCACCCACACACACAAACAAACAAACAGACAGACAGACAGACACACAAACAAACAAACAAACAAGCAAACAAACAAACAAACAAACAGACAGACAGACAGACAGACAGACAGACAGACAGACAGACAGACAGACAGACAGACAGACAGACACACACACAAACAAACAAACAAACAAACAAACAAACAAACAAACAAACAAGCAAGCAAGCAAGCAAGCAAGCAAGCAAGCAAGCAAGCAAGCAAGCAAGCAAACAAGCAAGCAAGCAAGCAAGCAAGCAAACAAACAAACAAACACACACACACAAGCACACACACACACAAACACACACAAACACACACACAAACACACACACACACGAACACACACACACACAACCACACACACAAACACACACACAAACACACACACAAACACACACAAACACACACAACAACACACACAACAACACACACGCAAACACACGCAAACACACACAAACACACACAAACACACACAAACACACACAAACACACACAAACACACACAAACACACACAAACACACACAAACACACACAAACACACACAAACACACACAAACACACACAATCACACACAAACACACACAAACACACACAAACACACAAACACACAAACACACAAACACACAAACACACAAACACACAAACACACAAACACACAAACACACAAACACACAAACACACAAACCACAAACACACAAACACACAAACACACAAACACACAAACACACAAACACACAAACACACAAACACACAAACACACACACAAACACACAAACATACACACACAC